GGCGACTCTCTACGACGACAGACAGGGCACCCGGGAGGATGACACGTGGTGGCTACATGGAGGACATGCCGAACGGCTGGAATCCTGTCCCCGGCATAGCGGCTATAAATACCCACAGTAGCTACAGTGTAGGGGACTTTTGGACGATCGATAGGTTGTTGTTAGAGAATCCCGACCGCAGTCAGTCGGTACTCAGAGCAACCAAGTAGATTGTACTTAGGGCCTTTACCGTGATCAATAAAGACATTTATTTACTTTACTTGGTCTCAGGTTATTTCATATTGCTTACGTATAATTAGCAGTATCAATAATTATAAAGATATATATTCATAATAATTTTTTAACTTCATATTCGCAATTATTTAATCTCTATATTCATAATTACATAACTATACGTTTATAATTATGTTGACAACACTAAGTTCTTAATTATAGAACTATATGTTCATAATTTTTGAACTATATATTCATAATTATGAACTATTTTTGAACCGTGTCTACCTTGCAAGCTTGACACAGTTCCACAACATAATTTGTCGGGTCAATAGGACTAAAAAAAAGTCTTTGGACTTTTCAATATTTGTCCATATTGATGGGCAAGAAATTATATGTTTGTAAGAGGAGGAATTATATGCATTGCTCCTCTTATATTGAGAAGCTCAAGAGGTCCTCTTTCCAAACATTTTTAATGTGGGATCAAAATTATCCCACATCATTTACAAAGGGGAGCCACCTTTGTCTTCTTATTTTTTCTTAATTTTAATTTTATTTTGTATATAGTTTTATTATTATTATTATTATTATTATTATTATTATTATTATTATTATTATTATTATTGTTATTATTATTATTATTGTTGTTGTTGTTGTTGTTGTTGTTATTATTGTTATTATTTTAATTTTTTTCTTCTTCTTATTTTTTTAATTTTATTTTATATATAGTTTTATTATTATTATTATTATTATTGTTGTTGTTGTTGTTGTTGTTGTTATTGTTATTGTTATTATTGTTGTTGTTGTTATTGTTATTGTCATTATTTCAATTTTACTTTTATTTTATTATTATTAGATTATTACATAGAAATTTTATTATATTTGAACAACAATATTATCAATTAATAGATTTTATTTAATTTCCATTTGACATTTACTTACCAAATAAGCTTTACTACAAATAATAATATTCTTCTTCGTATATATATATATATATATATATATATATATATTAGTAATTTTTTGTAGAATTTATTTTTCCGTTAATTAGTGAATTCCGTATCCTTTTTCTAATCAGTGAATGAGGAATTCTTTTTTTTTTTTTTTTGGTACTGCTAACTTTTTACTGATTATTATTAGCATTAATCATATTATTATTATTATTATTAATTATTAATTTATTATTATTATTATTATTATTAATTATTAATTTATTATTATTAAATTAATTTCAGATCCTTATTATTATTAATTAGTTATTTTTGGTAGGATTTTTCTTTTCATTAATCATTGAATTCTGTTTCTTTTTCCATTAATCAGTGAATTAGGCATACTTATTTACTGATTATTATTAGTATTAACTAGTGTAATCCGCTTCCTTTTATATTTTGAGTTAATTATGGATCCTTTTTTATTTTCATTTTTTACAGATTAGTATTTAGTATTGATCAATTTTCTTTTTCAATGTGAATTAGGGATTTTTTTTTTCATTTTTACTGTTAACTTTTTTACTGATTATTATTAGTATTAATTAGTGAATTTTGTTTCCTTTTCCATTTTCAGTGAATTAGATATCTTTTTTATTTTTATTTATCTATTTTTACTGCTAACTTTTTTACTGATTATTATATAAAATATTATTAATTATATATAATAACTATATATAAATAATGGATGATATTACAGAAATGTCCCTATATTTTTGGGGAGAAATTTGGCTAGGGGGATTTTACTTTTAATTATATATATTGAATATAGATATAGATTAGTAATTTTTTGTAGGATTTATTTTTCCATTTTTCTAATCAGTGAATTAGGAATTCTTTTTTTTTTTTTAGTACTGCTAAATTTTTTACTAATTATTATTAGCATTAATCATAATAATAATAATAATTATTATTGTTATTAATTCTTAATTTTATTATTATTATTATTATTATTATTATTATTATTATTATTAAGTTAATTTCATATCTTTATTATTATTAATTAGTTATTTTTGGTAGGATTTTTCTTTTCATTAATCATTGAATTCTGTTTCCTTTTCCATTAATCAGTGAATTAGACATACTTTTTTACTGATTATTATTAGTATTAATTAGTGTAATCTGTTTCCTTTTACATTTTGAGTTAATTATGGATCCTTTTTTATTTTCATTTTTTACACATTATTATTTAGTATTGATCAATTTTCTTTTTCAATGTGAATTAGGGATTTTTTTTTCATTTTTACGGGTTATTATTAGTATTAATTAGTGAATTTTGTTTCCTTTTCCATTTCAGTGAATTAGAGATCTTTTTTATTTTTATATAACAAATTTTCTATCTTTAATATTGCCAAATAGGTAATAAGTTATTAGTACTCAAATTACATTTGATATACTATTTTTATCATGCATTTTGAATTAAGTTATTTTTTTCTTTGTTTTAGTTGTGATTTGATCTTGTAATTTACTGTGTACTTTTCTGTGTGGATTAAGCATCGATATAATTTGGACTTTTGGTTAATCAATAAGTTCACGTACCACAAAATGGTATGTAAGTCAAACTCATACATAGAGTAAATTGCATTTATATTTTATTTGATTTCCAGATTGCAATTACTCCAATCTGGTACAATCTACATGTTAAACACTTCCATTGTAATTTGAACTATAAACTTAGAGGACTCAGTTTGTCCAGACTAAGGTACATCTTGTGGTCTTCATTGTTGTGGTCTTGGAAAAAAAATAGTTTGTCCAACGTGAGATGCATCTTGTAGCCAACCAAGTTGTGGTCTTGTAGAAGGAAGTTTGTCTAGCCTAACTTAATAACTTTGTGCAGGTTTCATTCCTTATAGTCTGCTTTCCTTTATTTCACTTGGATAACCTTCAACCTTCTTTCATTGTTCAGAAACTGCATGCACATAGCTTGATTCCTGCAAAGAAAATATAATAAAACTAAGATATAATTAAATTACTATACGACATACTTTATACTAAATTATAAATACATCCCAAGTTTATGCATTCACATGTTCTGCAAAACAAAATCATATGGAATGTAATACAGTTCATATGTGAGAAACCTGATGTTAAGTCAACTCACAGGACAATGAAAAACCTTTTTTTCCCTAGAAAAATGGAGGAGGGGATTCAACTCCTTTTCCCCTTTACCTAACACTGGAGTTGAGTATGGATTTGTACTTGCACAATCTTTTGACCTCCATTTCCTCTATGTTTTATCTTTCCTTTCCTTTCCCTGCGTTTTCCCCTCTCATTGGTGGTACTGAAATTTTAACTGTTTTAACCTTGTAATGAAACTTCAAAATAGAAAATGGCACCACATCACACAAAATTACATTCTCAGCTAAATATAAAATACCTTTGATATTGCCTCTGTCTTAGTTTCTCAAGTTCAAGTTGAATATCTTTTAGGGCTATTGATGATTTAACCATTGGAACTCCTTTAGCAAACTTCAGATTTGTACTGAGAATCTCCATTAGTGAACAATAAGGAAAAATAGCAGAGAAGAATAGAAAATAATGGATGGTAGAATTGTTTAGGATTATAAGAGTATTTATAGTGCAGATTATGTGGTTGGTTATGGAGCATTATTATTTGCAGAAATAAAGATTATTTTGCAGATTATGTGGATGGTTATAGAGAAATCTCGATGTACAATTGCAATTGCAGTTTATGGCTAATTATGAATTTATTTATGGAGCAATTATAACGTAAAATAAGGTAAATTTATTAATAACTGATTCTATTGATTGATTATTGAGTATATATAAATCTGGACATAATACTTACGGTACTATAAATTAATTAGGTAAGATTGTGTAGTAATTCATTTGGTAAGTTATGATTCACATGTAAATTAATTTCTATAATTAATCGGATATGAATAATATATAATTACTATACTTATTAATTAAATAAATTTAGATATTACATAAATGACCCTAAGTTTTGGGGGGGAAATTTGGGGAGGATTTTAGTTTTATATATATATAGATTAATTTGATTGGTGTCTACTCTTAATTTGAGTAGACTAGTAGAGTCAAAATAAATTTGAATTTATAATAGTTTATTGTGCCCATTGACCTGTTAACACCTAGCCAGTGAACTTACAGGCAATATTGTAAAGATAGAATAAACAGAAAAATGTAAATATAGAGAACATGGAAATTTAAGAGAGCCATTTTATTGAGTCAATCCTTACAAATATATAATACAACAATTAAAGGAATGTAATTAAGAGGATGACCGTTACAAAAAACATTGCCATGAATAGTCATAATGTCATATTAAAATTCTTATAGCATTCCCCTTGGACATTATATAACCATAATCGTTATAAATTCGCTAAAAAAAATCAATGGAAAAAAAACTAAACAAGAAAAGACTACATGTTATAAATTCGCTAAAAAAAATCAATGGAAAAAAAACTAAACAAGAAAAGACTACATAATATATGAGTAATTCATGTGTCGCTTCAATTGCCTCATTAAAAACATTAAACTGAGAAAATTCTGTGAAAAAAAACTCAAGTAAAAAGAAAAATAGTACAATCGTAAACTTTCATGATTTAAACTTTGGATGTATAAAAATATTTGATCATCGAGATATCAATAAATCAATCATACTTGGATGTTATTGCTCTCCCTAACCTACGCATCCCAATTTTATAAACGAACTTTTCAAATGTAGACGCAAGTAAGAACTTGGTGAACAAATCTGGTAGATTGTCACTAGAGCGAACCTTCTGAACCTATATTTCACCCAAATCAAAGACACAAAGGTTGTGACAGTTAAGAATAGGCGGCTTAGATTATGTTAAAACTAGAAAGGTAAGCAGACAAGGCAAATCAGTTTAATCTGTTTTACAATATTGAAATCTCTAATGGAGGAAATGACAGCCAAAATGATGGAAGAATATTCTTTCCTTATTCACAAGCCAATTTGGTGTCAAAGCTGCTTAAGCAGATGGCAAAAGCCTGAAATGCAGAGAGGGGATAGCGATAATCCATGGTGAACATATCTTTCCCAACCTTCCCGAATTGCAGGATGATCTTGTCGTGATCCGGCTGGCTTGGCGGTTGGGAGGTCGTCGTCGGTCCACCAGCAGGCGGCAGCGGCAGTGGCGGTGGCGGTGGCGGAGCGGCAGCGATCAGCTGGAAGTTCTTGACAGACGCAACCGTGACCCGCCCTCGAAAGTTGAGGCACCAGCACTGCAATTGCTCGTGCCACCGGGGCGCCTTGTTCTTCAGAACTAAGGGCGGGGCCTTCCCGTCATCGCCCGATACACCGATATCGGAGAATCTTGCACTGCTGAACTCGGTGGAGTGGTCGAGGGCCTTCGAGAACGAGATGCTTCGGAACGAGTCCTCGAGGGGCCTCGGGAGAACCTCGGGCTGGCCGGGCACTATGCCATCAGCATCGAGGGCCGAGGCGGGAATACACTGCATGATGCAGTGCATCCTTCGAGGCCCTCGGGTTCCCAGCACGTTTAGCTCGTATGTTACCTGAGCTATGTTGTAGCTCCCCGTCGGAACTTTGGGAGATACTTTCTTGGAAGAGAATCTCCGGCTCGTCCTTCCGGGTGCCCCGACGGGCGCCCCAGTACACGGGGGCTGCGTGTCGTATATCAAGAACTTCGTCCCCAGAAAATTCGATCTGCAAGGAACATCATCAAATAAATTCGTGTCTCTACAAAAAAAACGTCACATAAAGGACACAAAGGATACGAAGTCCAAGATTGATCCTTTAGTAGTTCGATTTGTTTTTAACATGACACGAAAAAATCACAAATTATATTGGACTAGACAACGTTACAATAACATGTTTATTAAGGATTCGTTTCGTACCTCAATTTTCCAATGTACGTGTTGTTGGATCTCGAGATGTTCTCAGCATCCATCGAGATAACATACTCGGTGCTAGTAGTTCGCCTCGTTCTCTTTGCGGAGAGAAGGAACTTCCCGTTTTCAACTAGCAAAGCTACAAAGTCGAGTCGCAATGTGTATTAGCAAAAGTCGAGACAGAAAAGACAAACAACGTAAGACAAAAGTTGATTAGCAGACTTCAAATCCTATGCCTAGGTTACCGAGAACAATTCCCATAGTAATTAACACCGCAAATAGATAGATGCTATATACTCGTTAAAAACGAGAATCTAAATTACTTACTTGGGCTAAGACACAAGAAAAGATGGTAGGTTAAGTTAGACTTGTCCCGCTTGATGAAGCATTGGATAGTTCCATCACGAGGCCCGGGCTGAAAAAGGGAAATTAACGATTCTGAAAAACCGAGGGCTAGTTTAAAGTGGAGATGAAGTTGAAGCGAAGTACCTGCTTTAGGGAAACCGGAAAAGTGATTTTCCCGCAAATTTCCGGACCTCTGACGATCTCTTTGCACATACTCCTCCACGACCGGCAAACTGCAGCACACGCAACGACGTGCTTGCGAGCGGGCCATGCGCTCTCGCTCTCCTCTAACCTTCGGATTACGTCGAAAAGGAGCTCGGTCGGGAGATTAGCCCAACAACTGGTCTGAATTATAGACGGGTGGTCACTCAATTCGTGAAATGAACCGTGGGATCTGCCCCTTTGGTGACCGGACAGCCTCACGTCGAAGCTGCGTCTCGATAAGCTCCCGAAGCTATCCCGAACATCCCGAACTATACTACGAAACGACATTGACTATTGAATCTGATGGGTGCCACCGAACAAAAGACAAATTGTGTGATTCATCGAGGAGAACAAAAAAAAGGCATAAATAACTTTCACAGTTTCACGTATATCGCAATCAAGCCATCAAACAAACAAGAAGAACAATCACATGAGGGTGAAGTCCTAATAACGCTATCTCGATCCACAATGTGAAGCCAGACTTCTGCCACACCATTTGCGGATAGATTCTTGTAATTAGACCCACACAAGCTGTTCAACATAAAGAAAAGTCTAACCCGTAACCCCACCTAAGACCTAGTTTAGGTTCGAAATTTCCATGTGATTCTCACCTCAAAACTTAGTACAATAGTACACATTCAATGCTTCCCATTGTTTCACCCACCTATATTTTCATGTATTAAAGATGTTAGAGGCAACCCCGGCCAAATTGGAGGTACAGTTGGCTCGGTAACCATAAGGTTCCAAGTTTCACCCCCCCGCCTAGGCTGGTTTACTTCCTTGTGATCCTTTGCCGGTTAGGGCCAGTCAAGTTGGTCGGAGAATTGGCTCGGTAACTCCAAGTTTGACTCATAGTCTAGACTGGTTTACCTCCTTGTTTTTTTATTTTGTGTAAACCACGAGATGGTCTGGGTCTTTCTCTGTCCGTTTAAGGTTCCAAGTCCACCCAACTAATCCCCGTTCGCTCCGAGAGGCCATGGAACTGGCCCAGCGAAAATCGTCGCTTTTTGGAATTGAACCCGGGTTATCCCGAAATTCTCCCCCAGAAAAAGAGCTCATGGTTTACCTCATTGTGATCCTTTACCTAGAGTCAAAAGTCAACTATTGCATTTTCTATGACTGAATTTAAACAACACTCAAACTATTCTTCAAAGCAACACAGAAGAATCCATCACAGTAATAGGCTAATCAAAGCTCCATAGCTGATACAGATATGGAGACCCAAAAAAAAAACCAGATAAACTTCACTCTCAGAAAGGAGATTTGGGTGTTTTTTAAGGGGAGGGGGAGGGTATACCTTGAAAAGCCAAGAACTTTATCCACAAGAAACCACTAAAATTCAAGAAAAAAGATCCCCAAAACCATGAATGAAAGAAAAAAAGAAAAAAAAAAACCATTTTTAGCCTGGATAAACAGTGTTTACCAGCTAATAAGCAACACTTCTGGTTGAGCTATCATATCCACAGACCCCAAAATGGCCAAGAAAACTAGAAATTCACACAAGAAACATCATTAACTGAGAATCACAGGTTATTCTACAAATTGTGGCATACAAAACCTAGGTAAACATAACCACAGATCAATTGTGAATACCCATCTGAGCAGAGACACAGATACTATCCAAGATCTAATGGTAAATAAGGGCAGAGATAGATCTGTACCTTTTACAAAGAAAGTCAGCAGAGATGAGAGGCTCCAGAGTAAATGCAAGGCAAAAATTTTCTGGGAACTTTAGAGCATAGAAGAATAAGAGGATCAGAAGAAAAGAAGAAGTGGGTCAGACCCAGAAATTGGATAAAATTCACCTTATCTTTTTCACTCAACACTGCCCTTTCTCTCTCTCTCTCATCCAGAGCTAGGCAGGCAGCATTGAATCTTTGTTCTAAGAACAATAGAGAGAGGATTGAAGAAGAATAAGAAGAAGAAGATAGAAAGAGAATAATGGTAATAGGAAAAAAGAAGAAAGAATTAAAAGTTAGCATCCTTTTAACCCAACATTTGCCATTGGGGAAATGGAGATGGGAGTTGTACTGTGTTGGAAACAATTATAATGTGTCCAGAAACTACAGTGCCATAACTATGGAGTATTTAACTACGAAGTATTAGAGCATCCACACTTGTGGATATTGTTGAGATAATTCAGCATTAATTCTTCCCTTATTGAGATAATAGTTAGTGTGGACATGGGATAATTGAGAAATAATCTCCCTGCAAATATAGGGAGATTGTCAGAAAAAAAAAAAAAAAAAAAAAAACAATAAAGCATTGAGAAGCAGTGAGACGCAATTGCGTCTCACTGACCACCCAGCCTGGCGCGTGTGCGACACGCGCCCGGCTGGGCGATTGAGAGTGGCCGCCAGCTGGCGGCCACTCTCATTTAATACCAATCTGGCCGTTGCTGGCCGAGCAACGGCCAGATTTGTATCGGTTGCCGGCAACGGTCACATTTCCGACCGTTGCTGGCAACGGATACTTTGTATCGTAGGCATGTTGGAGTAAAATAGAGAAAGAAATAAAATATAAATTTATAAATAAAATAGATAAAGAAATAATTAAAATATAGTGAGTTAAATGGTGGGGTCCACAAATAACTCCTAAATATCTCAAACTGATGTGGAGAAGAGTTATTTGTGATTGAGTGAGATAGTGGAGAATGAGGTGGATGCTGGGGCCCACAAATAACTCCTAAATCTTTCAAGCTGATGTGGATGCTCTTAAGCAACCCCAACTCCCAAGAATAAACTTTTTGACTTAAATTCGCACCGACTTAGCTGACTGATTCATTAGGTAATATTTAGAGAAAAAAATATTAATATTTGAATCTCAGTAGCGACTGTATAAGAATAATGTTTAAAGTGAACAGATTTTTTGTGCTCATCATTATTTGACTCTGCCTATTGAGTTATTGAGTTACTGTGATTTACATCATTTCAATGCTCTGTTCAGTCGGAGTATGAGGACTTTTGGGGTTGAAAATTCAACATTGGAGAATGAGTTTTTGACTTATATATAAACATGATAAATACCAAATCCAAAGTCCCAACACAAAACAAAACAAAAACAAAAACAAAAAAAAAAAGGTTAATTTTAGTGCATAACAACTCACCATGATTATTTTCGCACGAATTTATAGAACTTTGAGAAACTTGTGAAAAAGTTGTTAAGTATGAATCTTCAGATTTTTTGAATATGATTATACTCAAGTTATTGTAGTCTTCTTGTTTTTACATTCTTCGTGTATTAAAAATAGAGTTAATACCCAAAATCGTCCTCGACTATAGTGGTTTTTCTCAATTTCGTTCTAAACGACTTTGGTGACCTAATATCGTCCCAGACTTTTGTGTTTCGCTCAATTTAGTCCTCCATTTGTTATTCCGTCAAATTGGTGTTAAATTAAGGGACAATTCAGTAATGTCAATATTGATCTCTCTTTACTTTCAACTTGTGAAGTGCGAAATTCCTCTTTCTTGTACGAATTACTCCCGGACCTGCAAATCAAATTTTATATTCGCAGTTTTAGAAGTAATTCTGGGAGTAATTCGTAAAAAAAAAAAAAAAAAAATTTCGCAGTTCACATGTCTATGAGTAAAGATGTGCCAATATTAAAATTACTGAATTGTCTATTTATTTAACACCAAATGGACAGAATAACAAATGAGGGACTAAATTGAGTAAAAACACAAAAGTCTAGGACTAAATTGAGCGAAACACAAAAGTCTGGGACGATTAGGGCTGTGCAGTCGGACGGATTGGACGGTTCGGAATGCGGAATGAGACCCCCGGCCGAATTTCGGATTTGTCTTTTGATCACCCTAACCGTTTTTTTTTGTTGACCAATCCGATCGGTTATAGTTATTTTCGGATTGGTTCGGATCGGTCGGATATCCGAGTTGTAAATCGGTTTTATGAGAATGTAAAAAATTTAAAAATTCAATTATTCATGGATGATGGAACACCTAAGTACCTAACTAATGAACTACTTAAGTACTAAAAGCCACTAACTAGTAATTACTAACTACTTAACAACAAAATTAAGTAAATAACATAAGTAAACTTATAAAAGTGTAAACATATAATGAGCAAAATACAAATTAGCTTACATATAATCTACATTCAACAGATTAGTTACAACTTAGAAAGTTAGAAGTTACAAAATTAAAGAGAATTATAATTGTTCATAGCAAGCACTCCAAGCAGGCAAGTTGCAACAGCAGCACTGCATCAGTCTCCACTCTCAAATCAGCAGTCAGCACATCAGCAAAAGAAAGCCAGATATCCAAAACTCCAAAAGCAATATATGAATATATGATTAATATAATATAGAGTACTCTATGTCTATTCTTCTTCCTGATAAGTGAACACATAAAAACACAATAAGTTCAAAACATTTGTAGTTAGTTAGAATTGACACAATCACACAAACTGAAACTGTAAAAGACTAAGACTCTAAGAGTGCTCAGATAGCTTTTTTTCCATATCAAGTTAGGATTGGGGGCACACTACTCAATGAGTATGGCATAAACACCACACTTCAAAGGCAACATACCAAACCCAATTCTATATATTCAGAGAAATGGTGGAAGCATCATCATAGCAGAATAATACTTATGCTTAGACAACTAATGAATTATATTTAAATAGCAAAGACTCAATGAGTGCTCAGATATTTTTTTTTTTCCATATCAATTTAGGATTGGGGGAACACTACTCAATGAGTATGGCATACACCACACTTCATAGGCAACATACCAAACCCAATTCTATATATTCAGAGAACCTGGTGGAAGCATCATCATAGCATAATAAAGAACATTTATACAGGTATAAGTGTATAACTTATAAGTATAGTGAGTCAGAACTCAGAAGATTTAGCTATTTATACAGTATTTAACTATTTATACTGATACCTGAGCTCAATGGCAGCAACATTTAAAATGTTACCTAGCCATGAGCACTTTCCAGTTTCCAGTTTCCAGTTCCAACTTCCCAGCCTCACTTGGGACATTGATTTGAATCATTGATACACATACATGATACACTGATACAGTCATATAGAGGCATAAATTTATCATGAAATCAAATAAGTAAATAAGTAATCACAAATCAAATAAGTAAATAAGTAAACATACAACAATTGTAGGCATTCCAGTTCCAGTGCTAGATGTGCAGCACAACTCTGCAGTACAAAAACAAAATGGAAATTCAATAAGTAAATTGTAAATAAGTAATCACAAATCAAATAAGTAAATAAGTAAACAGATCATTTGAGTAAACAGTTAGAAGTATATACCTTTCTCTATCCTTTCAACATCTTCAATATTTTCTTCAATTGAGATTGGTTGGTTGCTTAACCTTAGCCAATCCTGTGCACACACCAATGCCTCAACAATTCTAGGAGTTAGGGAACTCCTAAAGGCATCAAGTACCCTTCCACTTGTACTGAAAGCTGATTCTGAAGCAACAGTTGATATTGGAACAGCTAGAATATCCCTTGCCATTTTAGATAAGACAGGGAACCTTTCAGATTGTTGCTTCCACCATCTTAGAAGGTCAAATGAATCATCCTCATCCACAATAACCTCAGAGAGATACACTTCCAACTCAGTTTTTTTCCTAGACAAATCCCCACTCACCAATTTTTGCTTCTTAATCTGAGATTTCAGTAATGATTGAGGTCTCCCAACAGAAACAGAATCAGATATTGTTATTGAGGGAGAAAATTTTTCAGATTGTTCAACAGACTGGACAGGGAAGCATGCAACATAATCTTCAAACAACTCCTTAAGGCCAACAATCACCTTATCAAACATTGTTTTACCCTTTTCCTCACCATATAACTGGTTAAACTGAATGGGCATATACTCAATTTTGTCCCTGGGGTCTAAGATATTTGCATAGAATATCAAAAAATTCATTTTTTCAGGCTCACCCCAATACTTATCAAATTTTGCCCTCATATTTTTACCCATCAGTTTAACACTATCTTCTGTAGCTTCCTCCATATTTTTCAACAAGCAAGACAAATCAGAAATCTCAGAGAAGAAGGTATTAGAAGTCACATACAATGATCCAGAAATCCTAACAGTCATTTCATAAAAAGATTTCAGAATCATAACCAAAGATTGAATGGATTCCCAATCTAAGAAATCAGGTACACTTCCACCCAAATCAGATTTAAATGAACTGTCATGATCATCATAGGCTTCAAATACCTTCTGAAACAGTAATGCAGTATTAAGCATCAAATATGTGGAATTCCACCTTGTAGGGACATCTAGACACAGAGAATTTTTTGCTTCCACCCCAATTAGATCAGCTAGTGATTTAAACTTCTGCAACCTAGCAGGTGAGTTCCTCACATACCTAACAGCATCCCTGACTTTCTTAACTGAACTGTCACATTCTTTCAACCCATCCTGTACCACCAAGTTAAGAATGTGAGCAATGCACCTCATGTGCAAATACTTACACCTAACAGAAGTACAACCCCAAGAACCCAACTTCTTCTTCAAGAAACCTAGGGCAGTATCATTGCTGGAAGCATTATCAACTGTCACACTAAACACTGATTTTAGACCCCAGTCCAAAAGGCAACTCTCTAAAGCCTTTGCAATACTTTCCCCCTTGTGGGAATATATAGGAACAAATGAAATAATCTTCTTTTGCAGCTTCCACTCACTATCAATGAAATGTGCAGTTATGCACATGTAGTTTATTCTCTGGACTGAGGTCCAAGTATCAGTTGTGATACTTACCCTCTGACTGCTAGTCCTAAAAAACTTCTTCAAGTTGACCCTCTCATCAGAAAATATCTTGAAAATGTCCCTACTGATAGTCCATCTTGAAGGGATTTTAAACCTAGGACAACAAACTAAAACAAACTTTCTAAAACCCTGTCCCTCAACAATTCTAAAAGGAAGTTCATCTAAAATAATCATCTCAGCTAAGGCTCTCCTTATCAAGTCCTGATCAAACACCCAAGTACCCAACACCCCTTCAGTTCCTTCACTACTTTGAGTTCCAGCAGAAGAAGGTGCAGGTTGGAATGTGAGTAGGGACTGCCTTGTCTCCTTAGAGTGAGGATTTTTAAGGCAGTTTACCACATGAAGTCTTAGAGATGAAGTCCCATGTTTCTTGCTCTCACAGCAATACACTTTTGCACAATATATACACTTTCCTTTGATGACAATGCCCTCACTGTCTTTGATCTTTTCAAAGTGATCCCAACATGGAGCCCTGGATTCAACCTCTTTCCTTTTCTTTGGAACAGGTGGAGGCAAAGGCTGCTGAGACTGAGGAGTAACAGTCTCTACAGCAGGTGCTTCCAACTCAGGTTGGGTTCCAGATACACCAATAACACCAGTCCCACCACTAACACTTTCCATCTAAAAAGGGGAAAGTATCAGTGACACAGAATGGGAAATCACTCATTCAAAATCATCAACAGAGAATGGGCTTTGTCAATTGGCACATACACACATGTATCAATTAAAGTGTTAAACACTTAAACAGGCAGAATTCAGTGAATTTTACATTTCATCATGTATGCAGAATTGCACATAAATGATTTAAGGGTCACATATCCATAAACTTACAATTTCACAGTTACAACTTACAACAGTTACAAGTATTTACAAGTAAGTAACTAACAACTTACAAATTACAATTTACAATTTACAATGAAATCCATAATCAGGCATTCAAGCTAAGTAGGTGTATGCTACTTTATATGCTCATCATTTATATGGATTTCAGTCACACACTCCCACATTTATATGGCTTCCACCAAAATACCATCATGCTTAACATTTATATGGATTTCAGTCACACACTCACACATGAGTACAAGACAGTGAGACACACTCCCACATTTATATGGCTTCCACAGAAATATCATCATGCTTAACATTTATATGGATTTCAGTCACACACTCACACATGAGTACAAGACAGTGAGACACACTCCCACATTTATATGGCTTCCACAGAAATACCATCATGCTTAACATTTATATGGATTTCAGTCACACACTCACACATGAGTACAAGACAGTGAGACACACTCCCACATTTATATGGCTTCCACAGAAATACCATCATGCTTAACATTTATATGGATTTCAGTCACACACTCACACATGATTACAAGACAGTGAGACACACTCCCACATTTATATGGCTTCCACAGAATTGACAGAAATACCATCATGCTTAACATTTATATGGATTTCAGTATTTAACACACAATGGCAATGGGCTAGGGTAGTATGGCTTCCACCACAGATTAGGTTACAAATTAGAAACCCTAATCAAACAATTAACAAATTCCCCCTCAAAGAACTACTGACATGCAATCCGGAACTTCTCAACGGATTTACAAGTACAGTGAGTCCACAGATTACTGAGATTAGGTTACAAATTAGAAACCCTAATCAAACAATTCACAAATTCAAACTCAAAGGACTAGTGACATGCAATCCGGAACTTCTCAACGGATTTACAAGTATCACAGTCCACATAATCATAAAAATTAGAAACCCTAATCAAGAAGACAAATACACAATAATCTATAACGGAAATGTAAATAGGGTTTAGTAATTACTTCGTTTCTCAGATTTAATCCCTCGAGAACAAAGGGCTTCGAATCAACTATTCCACCGTTCCACAGTTCCACCGTTCCACCAGACTCCGGTGACCGGACTAGGGTCTAGGGCTTCCACCGTTCCAACACTCCGCCACTCGCTACTCCGATGCTCCGAAGAGGGCTTCCACCAGACTAACAAACAGAGACTAAGACTCTCAGAGTCTTAGAGAGTAAGACACTAAGAGTCTAAGACTCAAAGTCTCAAACTCTCAAAGACCAGAGCGAAAGAGAGAACGAGAGTGGAGACTGGAGAGATGAGAGATGAGAGAAGTCTAGAAGAGTCAAGAGTGAGAGCACGGCTGCGCTTGCTGGAAATGAGTGATATATATACATACACCAAACGACGTCGTCTTATGTAGCGTAAAAAACCCTAGGCTTTCATCGGGTAGTCGGACGGGTTCGGGTGGCGTTTAATGCCTCCCACCCGAACCCCTTCAGTCCGTCTTCTAGCGTTGCATCGGATCGGGTAAGGGTTTCGGATACGGTTCGCTCCACGGATTGGTCCGTCGGGTTTCGGGTCGGGCGGGTGGGTCGGATTCTTCGGTTTCTGCACAGCCCTAGGGACGATATTAGGTCACCAAAGTCGTTTAGGACGAAATTGAGAAAAACCACTATAGTCGAGGACGATTTTGGGTATTAACTCATTAAAAATATGATTAATCTGGGAAGAGATAGTGATGAAACATGATTTTTGTATGTATTAAGAAAATATATGATAAGCATCGGGAAGGTAATACAATGATTGAACATGGTTTTCATACTCATAAAATTTTAAGTCAATATCTTTTCGATCAAATTCATTACATATGGTCATCCTAGTGCGCTTTATATTTCTCATGTTTAATTTAAAAGCTATTATACACAATAATAACTATAAATTTATTTCATTACATAATATATCATCTTTTAAACTTAGTTATTTGTAACAATTCAAAGTATATATGTATTATAAATTTTTATGCAATTATCATTGATTGTTAAGAAATAATTGGGTTGGTAAAATTTACATAATACGAAAATCGACAAGATTTGAATAGCAAAACTTAATGCCTTAATGATAAAGTTGATCTTTTGGGGCATGGTATGAGCAGTTTTGGTCTTTTTGACTTGACTGGGGCATCTTTATTGACTATGTAAATAATTATATGATTGTTGTTTTCAAAAAAATAAATAAAATTATATGATTGTTTTTTCAGTTACAAAAAAATTCACAATTATTATCGATCTTTATTGACTATGTAAATAATTATATGATTGTTGTTTTCAAAAAAATAAAATAAAATTATATGATTGTTTTTTCAGTTACAAAAAAATTCACAATTATTATCGAAAGGTCAAATTATATTATAAACCATGACGTACATTACAATGTGAACAATGAATAAATACACATTTTTAATATATTAGATGTACATTATTTTTGTATTGAATGTACATTATTTGATAATAGATGTATCAAATATTAATGTATATTAAGTACTCAAATAATATACCTTAAAAATAAATATTTAGTGTATTAAAAATGTACATTTAGTAGTATAATAAAAATGTATCTTATGTCAATAGTCCACCTTACAATGTGGACTATGGTCCAAAATATACTGATTAATCAAAAAGGTATATAAATATAAACTCGTTTATGTGTAATAACTCGCAAATCACACATAAAAAGTAAATTTTACTATGAATATCAGGTGCGATGATGGGCTTGACAACTCAACTAATGCCACAAATATGAACCCGACATCTCGAATTACACTGCAAGAGACTCTCGTCATCTCATTTTACTTAGTAGGTCTAGTTGTATCACATTTTTACACCACGTGATATTCTTATATTTAATTAATTATTTATAGTAATATTGTTTCAAAAAAAAATAATTATTGTAATATTGAGTGATTTTTAAAAACCAATGAATATGAAAAATTATATATTAATTTAATCGAATCAAATGACATAATGCAAAACATTTAATATAAATAAAATTTCTCAATATATATAAATATAATAACAATATAATAATAAATGGCAATAAAGCATGCTTTGCATTCATCATTAAACCCAGCTCAGCCCAAAATAAAACCTTGTTTTTTAATTTTAAAACGGTTTTATTTTATAGGACTTCTTTTTAAGTGTAGTGAATTATAATATTATGAATAATAGGTGTTGATTCGGTTAATCCAATATATGAATTTACAAAATGTTTTAACCGTTAACCAAATCAAAATTTATTTATAACATAATTGAATTTAGTCAAATTTAATATATATATATATATATATATATATATATATATATATATATATATAAACATTTTTAATTTATAGTTTCGTGCTTTCGCATCACAAAATAATCTTTACGTCAATATATAATGATACAAATTAAAAAGGTAATCTAATTGTATGATTTTATGAATTATAAAAAGTTAAAACTTATTTTTATTAACAACTCCATTAAAAATAATTAATCAAAATTTATCAATCCAATCGATTATACACACATCTATCGTTCGAGGGATCTTTCGTGGGAGCATCGAATGGCGCCCTCACTCATTGTGCAAACCTACTTACGACGGAGTCCTTAGCTTGCATGCAAAGAGGCCTTTTCATGGCTTATAGATCGTGAAGTTGATTCGGTTGCCTTACACACTGACTGCTCGGTTCTTCACCGCTATATTTCTACCTCAACAGCCAAGCCTAGATTGTACGTTGGAGTGGTGATAGATGATTGTTTACGTTTTATGTCTTTGTTTGATTCCTGTTCGTTATTTTTGGTTCCTATACAGGTAAATACGATTGCTCATGCTTTAGCTTCAAAAGACTCTGCTCAGGCTAGTTCGCTGTATTGGGATTCCGTCCCTCATGACTTTGTTACAACTCTTTTGAATTAATATATTATATATTCTAGCCGTTTTGCTTTCAAAAAAAAATACACACATCTATTATAAATACTCGATAATTTTGTAATGTCTTCGTACTCTTCTTATATCCTTTTTATAAAATGTAAGATACACCCGTATGGACAACTCAGTTAGTCACAACAGTGAAGTTTAGAAATAATATCCGAGATTGAGTTTCACCAAAGACAGTGTAAGAGCAATCTCTCAAAGTTGTATTTATCTGAATTATCAAGATTAGGGGTTTAACTTTTGGGAACAAAAATAAAATGTAAGATACAATTTTATAGAACTCCCACTAGCATAATAAATAAGCTCGACAAACAAGACAAGACAATGCTCAATAATCTCAAGCCACCCAACATTACAAATAAGAATATTGGACCGTGAATGGAAGTGTACTATATTATCTTATCTTATATTATTCAGAAATAGTTTATTAAGCACAATGCAATTAATTTAGCATTTTGAGACCAACTCGTGACCAACCTAATCATCAGCTTCAATTCATTCCCCCCACTCGGGCTCTGACATTTGTTGGGTTTCTTTATTTATATAGTGTGTGTATATAAAAGATTTTCTTCAAATATGTATAAATATTAATTCTTTTTAGAGACTATAAATGTTTTTTACATTTAAAAAAATTAGGAAAACAATTTTGGTCGTTATTAAGATATTTCGTTTTTACCTTAAAAAAAAAAAAAGAAAAGAAGAAGAAAACAACTTTGAAAACGATTTATAAAATTCATGTAAATTTATGGAAAAAAGTGTTTGTGAAATGTGATAACTTTAATTCTTTAAAGTTTGCGTATAATATAGGAGATAATTTACTCGAATATGTCTTCGGAAAGGGTAACATAATTGGGAAGATACTTCAAAATTGTAAACTACCAAATAATGCTTTGAACTTAATTGCTAAGCTAAGTGTCTTTGTTAACCATTAAAGCCATATTTTCTTCATGCATAAAGTCTTCTAGACTTGATAATGGTTGCAAGAGTTGGTATCGATTTATAAGCGGATTATATCAAGTAGGTTAACTGAACCATAGCGATATTAATAGCGTGCAATGCGCACTTAGACTAAGATCGTTTTGAGTTGAATTCAAGTTGGGGCAAAACTAGTGACAAATTGAATCACCCGAACAGTTTTATGAGCTAACTTAATTTTAAAAAAACAAAAACAAAAACAAAAACAAAAAAAACAAAAAAAAACCAAAAAAAAAAACCAAAAAAAAAAACTTTGGATTGTTATCCATTTATATCATTAGGTTGGTAACAAAATTATGATTTCACAAGTTTGGAGTTTTGACTAGACCTAATAGGGTTTAGTTTAAAGTTGTGTTTAAACCAGTTCAATAACCAAATCAGGTTGGCTAGTGAATATTTCTCAAAATGGGCATTAGATAACCTTTTGATTGCTATTATAATGAGCCTAATACAATATTACTTAACATCATCTTCTATATGGACTAAATTGATATTTTAATTTAAGCAGATTTTAGTTCATTTGGACTAATTTTATATCGTTATGTGAAGTATGTTATTTTTTGTTGATTAATCAAAATTTTCTTATTTTCCTTCCCATAATTTAAAAAAAAAAAAAAAAAAAAAAAAAAAAAAAAAAAAAAAAAAAAAAAAAAAAACTTCTCCAATAATTCAAAACTCAATACATGTACAATAATTATGATTAAAAAAAAGACAATGACAAAACAACAAATATGACAAGATATTACATTGTGATCTATGTATCACCTTAGGGACATAACTCCCTGTTTTGTGCAATGAGAATAGTTTTTAGATAATTACTTTTTAAAAAACACACAAAAAAAAAAAAAAAAATACTCCTAAGCCCTAACCTATAACAAATACAAACCCAAAAGATCCAAAATCAAAAAATAGAGAGAAAGAGGCAAAAACCAAAACAATAATGCTCTTTCTTCTACCTCAAGTGACATCAAAATAATAGAATACTAAAGTTAAACGTCTCTAATATAAAAACGCATCGAATAACACATTTAAGTATGTGCAACTGACCAACTTGATAGAGAGCACAACAAAGCACTGTAATCTTCGTCTTCATTCTTGTATTTCCCGAAACTTAGAAGCATTTCCGGTGTACAATGGCAGGACCAGTCTCATCATATTCCGCTTTAGTTATCCACATCTGCAAATTGACATCATATATAAGCAAGCATGATGAGAGAGTCCACATTGAACATTTAAAAAAAAAAAAAAAACTATCGCATTTATAATACATGAGTAAGCCTAAATAATACATAGTAATTAATTAATTTTGACGTTTCAATATTTATTTAGCCATAAACATTATGACAAATCGTTTAGGCGATGAGGAAAATCGTAACGGGATAAACCCCACTCCATATAATGCACTCATTCGACCAACCATTTTAGCCTCGTAACATTTTAATGTTAACAAGAAATTCGTGATGAAAAATATTGACAAAAATTGAACTTGTAACATTTTGATATCAGAATTATACTATAACATAAACATGTAATGTAGTGTACCTGTTGGAAGGTGCTAAGGGAAGCCAAGATTGAGCCACCAATCCACACACTGTACTTCCGTTCCGGCGGCGCAACCACCTTGATCTTCATGCTGCCGGGCGCGAGCGCCGAGATCTCCTTGCTCATCCGATCGGCGATGCCGGGAAACATGGTAGATCCGCCGCTGAGAACGATATTCCCGTACAGATCTTTCCTGATATCAACGTCGCTCTTCATGATCGAATTGTAAGTGGTCTCATGGATTCCGGCGGCCTCGAGCCCCACGAGCGCCGGCTGGAACAGAACCTCGGCGCAGCGAAATCGCTCGGCTCCGACGGTTATCACCTGTCCGTCCGGCAACTCGTAGGTCTTCTCTAGCTCGGAGCTGCTCTTCGCCGTCTCCATTTCCTGCTCGAAATCTAGGGCTACATAGCCGAGCTTCTCCTTCACGTCCCGCACGATTTCCTTCTCGGCGGCGGAAACGAAATTGTAGCCTCTCTCCTTCAGGATGTTCACCAGAGAATCTGTGAGATCGCGGCCGGCCAGATCCAGCCGGAGAATTGCGTGCGGTAGAGCGTAGCCTTCATAAATGGGGACGGTATGCGTCACACCATCGCCGGAATCTAGTACTACACCTATACATATTGATACGCATAGTTTAGTCGTTTACACATATGTGAAAAGTTAACAAATCAAAATAGTTATTTTTTTATTTTATTTTATTACAAGGAAGGAAATACTCACATATACAATCTACGCCTGATACTCAAACTCTAAACCTCCTACTTAAAGGGGCAATTAAATACATACACACACACACACACACACACATATATATATATATATATATATATATATATATATATATATATATGATTGCATTCCTTAAAGATACACACAAACTAGGTAAATCAGTCTAGGTTGTCCGTCAAATCGAAAATGTTAACAAAAAGTTATAACCCAAAGTCAATATTTGCGTTACTTAAAGGTGTGCACGGGTAAAATCCGTCTTATAATCATAATTAAAGGTAAACCAATCTAGATTGTCCATAGTTAACCAACTCAAATCGAAAGTGTCAATAAAATGCTCTAACCGAGAGTCGTCCCTATTGAATTTCTAACTATTAAAATAGTCATAATTGACCAAAAAATTAAAACACCTAAACTTTTGTTAACTTTATAATTGTTTTTTTAGGGGGTAAAGCTAGCTAGCCCAACCCGTCTAAGTTACGTTGTTTATAGTCGATCAGCTCAAACCAAGAAATCAATATACTACCCCACCGAGCTAGCACCTAAAATTTACTATTATAGCTAGCAAAGTATTGGATTAAATAATAATACTCCGTATATCATAAAGCAATTAAGGAATGGAAAAATATGAAGCTAGCTAGGTACCTGTGGTGCGGCCGCTAGCATAGAGGGAAAGCACGGCTTGAATGGCGACGTACATGGCGGGCGTGCTGAAAGTCTCGAACATAATCTGCGTCATCTTCTCCCTGTTGGCCTTAGGGTTCATGGGCGCCTCGGTGAGCAAAACGGGGTGCTCGTCGGGGGAGACCCGCAGCTCGTTGTAGAAAGTGTGGTACCAAATCTTCTCCATGTCGTCCCAGTTGGTGACGATGCCGTGGTCGATCGGATACTTGAGGTAAAGCATTCCTCTTTTCGACTGCGCCTCGTCGCCCACGTACGCGTCCTTTTGCCCCATTCCGACCATCACGCCTTGGTGCTTTGGCCGCCCTATGATGCTCGAAAACACCGCCCGAGGTGCATCGTCGCCGGCGAATCCTGCCTATAATTATTTTCATAATATTAAGTTTACTATTACACTATTAGCGTATAAAATTTATATATTTAGAAACTATATTAAAAATACTATTCAGTATTAAAAACATCAATTATACTTTTCATCCCTAAGTTATAAGATAATTGTAGAATTCGTCCCTGAACGTTGGTCATACTCACTTTTCGTTCTTAAGTTATCATTGGCGTTACACTTTTTGTCCTTTCGTGCTCAAGTTTGGTCCCTGAGTTATATTAAAATTACAAATTTTGTCTCTAATGTTTTATTAGTAAAGGGACGAAAAGTGCAACGTCATTAGTAACTTAGGAACGAAAAGTTAGTATAACCAGCACTTAGGGACGAAATCTGCAATTACCATATAACTTAGGGACGAAATCTGCAATTACCATATAACTTAGGGACGAAAAGTGCATCTTTTCAAAAGTTAAATTTAAAAATTACTAAAGAAAATAAGCAATGAAAAAAGAGTTGGTTAATTTGACCAATATATAGTAAACAAGACAAACAAAATGAGACGGATGGAATAATGAAAAGAATGGTAGTGCATGGCTACATTGTTTTTCATTATTAGCCCTGCTTTCAATTTATTTATAGGGCAAAAGTCAGTAAAGGGACAAGTTCAACATCAGGTGGGCGTAAGTCCAACGCCATATCTCTAAAAAATGTGATGATGGTATAAAAAAATAAAGTTGCACATCCCATTAGGAGTTATATTTTTTGACGTAGTGATAAGTGTTTGATCTAACAAGTGGTATCAGTGCCATAATCAACCTAGGCTAATATTGAAAGAAAAAAAAAATTGCTAGTGGAGATAAAATTATAAGTGTAAATGGTACAAAAGTTGAGACATCAAAAGTGATAAAAACTCTACCTTTTGACAACAATGATATAGATATATAAAGCTATAGAGAGATGAGTGATGTACCTTAACCATGCCGGTGCCATTGTCACAGACAAGAGGTTGAATGTCTTCCATGTCAGCCATTTTCTGCTTTCAAGATGATGCTTTTGAACTTGAAGTAAGAGCAAAATTAGGCCAAAATAGAGGTTAGGGTATGGGAGGTGGATCCGTATACGCATGCATATATATAGGACTCGTGGCTGGTCGGTTTAGTCATAAAAGAGCAAAAAGAAAAAGTGGGAATAGCATGCACTAGAATTTTTTATTTTTTAAAGAAAAATAATGTTCACTTTAAGAGTTTAAGATACTTTAGTTGAACAAATTGTGATTGATGACTATCAATCTTTTTCGTAATATCAACATTTTTTACACCACATAAATTAAATATATAATTATAACTTAAACATTTACGGATTTCAGTATCTTACTTATAAAAATCCAGTGATAAATGAAATATTTATGAATTATAACAATTTATTTACCTATATATTTTGGTGTTTTACTTACATAAATTTATTGGTCTGGTAAATTAAATATATACCGATTTTAGTAATTTATTTACGATTTTTTTTCTAAATTAAATTTGATTTTTTTTTTTGTAGCGTGGATCTTGTAAGCGAGTCGACATGATGTTCTTTGATTGAAAATATGGTTGGTTGGTTAAGTAGTCCATCAGACAACTATGACAATTTATAATGGTTTTGCAATTAATTGATACATGACCCTAGCTAATTACACTGCGAAAACCAAGTGATGAGTTTAAGGTTTGATCAAAGTCTTATATAATAGATCAGGTGGTCTAACGGTTACAATCTTAAGTCGTTTATTTGACAATTATTTCAACCTATTAGGTGTGGTTTTATGTCTCAATTATTAAAGAAAAATATTATATGTACTCACATTATCTACTCCCAACTTTTACTCTAACACCTAAAATTTTTATGTAGACACTTTTACATGGACATACATAGACAAAATAACTTATCAACGTCTGCCACATCAGAAAGCAAATTTGATGGAGAAAGAGCATTCCTATTAAGGGTTTTTTTTTTAATGGTTTTTGAAACAGTAAAAAACTAGATGGTTGATTTTCATCAAATGTGCAGAGTGATTTTTGGTTGGATTTTTCCTCTATAATTAATATTTTTTTGTGGGGTTCGTCAGTAGATGCGTATTTTTAAACTTTTTTTTTTAAAAAAAATTGTTGTCACCCCCCACCCCCCCCCCCCTCTTTTTTTTTTTTTTTAAGTTTTCTCTATTTTTCTTGTCATCCTCTATCTTTCATAGTTGGTATCTAAAAACTCCCAAAAAAACTAAAGTTATTGAAGTTGTTCTAAGATTTGGGAAATCTTGTAGTAAAATTCATTATTAAATTAGTTAAATTATATATTTTTATCATGTGATGAAAATATATGCCCTTGAAATAGAATAACATTTTCCATGGGAAAAGTTGGAACATATGTCTTGATTTGGGCAAATGTATAAATAGATGGATGGGAATCAACAAAAAGTTGCGGTCCAGGTTGGAAAATAGCGTCGGTCCAATCAATTTCCACGTCATCATAGGGGTGGCTGAGTAGATAGCTATACGTTTCTGGCAGGGGCGGCGGCAGCTGGCAGGTGGTTGGACGGTTTTCGCGCCGTCCATGTCTTGTCGGTCCAAATCATTTTCTTGGCGGCTTTCTCTGCTGCGCAGTCATTCGAGAAATTATATACGGAGTAATGTTTTAAGGATTGATTTGTCGCTTCATTTGAATCGCTAATCCCATTTAATTGGTTTGTAAAGGGTATAGCTTTTTGAATAAATTTTGTTAAAAGTTATACTACATGTACTTTAAAATTTTTTTTTTTTATTTCTATTTTATGATTAGCAAACAAGAATATGATATTTTTATCATGTGAATATAATGAAAAGTGTCTACATCAAAAATTTGTGAGGAAAAGTAAAAGTTAAGAGTAAAAAAAAAAATTAAAAAGAAAGCAATTGTTAGGTGTCGTGCTGAACGCGCATTTAATAAGATCAATTTTTTTTTTTTCATGCGAGTCTCACATTTGGAGACAAAAACTCACTCTCCTTGTAAGAACTTCCATGTTCTCTCTCCAACACTCTCCCTCTTCCACATAGGTTATAATCTTCTCAAAAACTAAGCAAGAATCACAAATGAAGATGCTCTAAGGGCATCCCCATTAGATGATTCTTGAATGGTTTTTTTGGGGATCTAACAGGTGTGGAGGATAGGGGAAGAGGAAATATAAGATTTGAGGTCCGTAGAGCAACCTCAATGGTATGAATTATTTGTTAGTTTTTTCCATATACAAGTAGGAGTGAGAAAAAAAAGAGGGAAGAGAAAAAAAAAAACACAAACTATAACGCACCCAGCTGGGCGCCCCCCATCTGCCACACGCGAAACCACCCAAATTGCTTCCTTTCTTTCTCTCATTCAGTGGATCCTACAAAAGTTTTGATTTTACTGGAGAAAAATCCATCAAAGAACTACACCTTCCATTTGTTACAAAACAACCCACTTGGTTTTTCTTCTTCAAAAATTTTGAGAAAAACCACTGTTGTAGACACTCTTATGTAAGAACATGATTTTTCATTTATATACGGGGTCCCACGTGCCAAAGATGAAAAAGTTATGACAGGTTCATGTGAGGCGCTGCAAAAGTGTCTAACTGTGCACTAATTTTTTATTTATTTTTTTCTGTTTTCCCTTTCTCTGTCCCACTCATCTCTGCAAAAACCAACTTAGAAGTCCAAACTCAATGGAAGCGTTTTTGGCTCTTTGTGCTTCAATCAATCAATCAATATATATATATATATATATATATATATATATATATATATATATATATATATATATAACATGTCAAATCTTAGAAGAATAACATGTCAAATCTTAAACATATAGACTTCAGCCTATTTAATAAATATGTCTCGAAATAGGCATAGACATAACTTTTTTACTAACCAAGCCAAGCCAATAACTCATAAGCCCTTTATAAGGGTCTATGTTATTTCAATTCATATTTGTGATTGTCTCATATTTTCAAGTCCTATAATTAGATAACGCAAATAATGGTGTTAAATATGAAGAATTATAATTTTTAAAAAATTACAATTGATTTATATATTTATACAAGAGAGCAAGTAACGAAAAGTGACGGATAGTGACTCTCAAGTAATGACGGATAACCAACTTCATCAATTCCTTTACATGCCATATAATTGGTTAGTGGTGACGGTAAGTCGGTAATAGAATTGGTTGTAAACTCCTACTTGCATATGTTGTCACGTGTGTTTATTAGGAAATGATAAATTTGATTAGATTTGTTAGGCTTACTTTATCACGAAGAATAAATGTTGTGATTTAAATGTTATAAATTCAATTTAAATGAAAAATGTTGATTCATTACTATAATGTAATAATAATATTTTTTAGTGTATTTAATAACATTACTTATTACCAAGACTATGTGGTCTAATGGTACCCGGGTTAGACTTCCATTTGGAAGGTTGTGAATTTGAGCCTCAATGGAGCGTTATTGATTTTTTTGTGTTTCAGTAGGTTGAGAAAGTATATAAACAGATACTACTTATTAATTAAAAATGAATCAATAGAGAGAAATTGATGTGGTAACATTTTAATTTTGACAATTATAATATTAATAAATAGGCTCAAGATTGATAAAATATGATCGATTTTATGGTTAGATGACTTAGATCTCAATGGACCTGATCTGGTTAAGATCTAAGGCCTCGATACTTCATGGCAAATTATGCCCTGGACCCATTGTGGACACGGGCCCAAAACGACGTCGTTTTTCCAAAAAAACGCGTCATTTAGTTAAAAAAAAAAAATCGTGCGCGTTTTGCCGTTAACGGCGTTATTTTTTTTTTGGATTATGAATGTACAGTTATGCCGTTATGAATGTACAGTTATACAATTATGAAATTATGAACACAGAGCTCTAACATTATGAACTTACAATTATGAACATGTATAGTGATAAAATTATGACCATGAAGCTTTAAAATTGTGAATATAGAGTTTCGAAGATTATGAATGTACAGTTATGAAGTTATGAATCTACAGTTATGGAGTTATGAATCTACAGTTATGAGATTATGAATCTACAGTTACAGAATTATGAATGTACAGTTATTGATCGAATTATGAACAAAGAGCTCTAACATTATGAACTTACAATTATGAACATATAGTGATAAAATTATGAACATAGAGCCCTAAAATTGTGAACATAGAGCTCCGGAAATTATGAATGTACAATTATAGAGTTATGAATGTACAGTTATGGAGTTATGAATGTACAGTTATAGAGTTATGAACGTACAATTATGGAGTTATGAATGTACAGTTATTAATAATATAGTAATAAAATTATGAATATATACTCCTATAACGAAGCGTCTGAAATTTAAAAAATAAAAAAATAAAAAAATAACAGTGCCTAACGGCACTGTTACCCGTGTCCAGCAAGCATGCTGGACACGGATCCAACGCATAACGATTGATACTTCATATAGCTTGATTGAGACCAATCATATATATAGGGGATCCTGGTTCTAGCCCAATTTTTGAATTTTTGAAGATCAGACTTAATTGTTAATACATTATAGAAAACTATAATTATAATTACTCATCCGTCTCATTTTATGTGTCTAGTTTGGTTAACGAGATTTGACTGAAGTTATTTTTAATTTAATTTTTTATAATATAAAATTTAATATTAATATACAAAATTTTTATATTTAGAAACTACACTAAAAGTACTATTAAACACAAAAAAGTAAATTTAAAAATAAGTAAAAATACTAAAGAAAATAAATAAGGAAGAAAGAGTTGATTTGACTAATGAATAGTAAGTAGGACAGATAAAATGGGATAGAGGAGTATAATTAGGGGAGAAGAAGAAAATTATCAATTTATACGGAGATATTATAATTGAAAAAAAAAAGAAATTAGAGTCAAATTGGTTACCAAACTACACAAGAAAATGTAATTAGGCTATTGAACTCAAAAAACATACAATTAAATCACTGAACAACGCAAAATAATGCAATTGAACCCAAAAGTAACCTGCTTACCTGAAGTAGAGATTATTTAATTAAAATAATAATTTTTTATTTATTAACTAATTTTAAATAACAAAATATAAAATATATAAAAAAAAAAATCAAAGTCTTTGTCGTCTCTAGGCTGCCGGACGAAGAATGTGTCTTCGTCTCCAGGCTGCCGGAGGCGAAGAGACCCCTTCGTCTCCAGCCTAGAGACTAAGGAACCCCTTCGTATCCGGCCTGGAGACGAAGGAACCCTTTCGTTTCCAGCCTGGAGACGAAGGAACCCCTTCGTAATCGGCCTCGAGATGAAGGAATCCCTTGGTCCCCGGCGTGGAGACGAAGGAATCCCTTCGTATCCTTGCCGGAGAAGAAGGGACGAAGTTTTTGTCCCTTCTTCTCCGGCAAGGAGTCGAAGTTTTTTTTTTTTTTTTTAATTTGTTATTTACAATTAATAATAAAATAAAAAATTATTATTTTAATAAAATAACCTTCACTTAAAGTAAACATGTCACTTTTAGATTCAATTGTATCATTTTGTATTGTTTAAGAACCCAATTGTATGTTTTTTGAGTTCAATGACCTAATTACATTTTTGTGTGTTGTTGGATGACTTATTTGACCCTTATTCACAAAAAGAAATGAAAATAAAACCATACGGGTTACCCGTTTTGGTATTGGGTCTAGGGTTGGGCTGATTTCCACAAACGCAACGAACGCGCCTGGGCAGTGGTAATAGGACGGGAACGGCACGCACCATTGACTTTCCCCTTCATACTTCATCCCATATCGCCGCCTCAAACACACCACCCGATCGACGCAGGTCAGTTCCGTTCGTCTAATCAGATCTGTATTTCAACATTATTTTCTTCAACAGATTTACGGAATTCATTTGTAGATGTTTGCATATATATTTTTTCCGCTAATTCTACGCGGATATTCTGTGTTTTGCAGGTGAAATCAGCTGCATCAAGCTCTTCGCGTCTCATCTTCATTAGACATGTGAGGATCTTCGCTCTTTTTCAATCGTTAATTTACTTAATTCGGACGTTTTTTGTTTTTGTTTTTTGTTTTGGTCAATTACATGTATATCATTATGATTAACTTCCAATTAGATGTGTGTATAGATAGTGTGAGCTTAGATTATTGTATAGGTAATGACAGTGTGTTCAATCGTTAATTTAATTAATTTGGACTTATTTTTGTTTTTGTTTTGCTTCTTTGTCAATTACGTATACATTAGTATGATTAACTTGCTATTAGCTGTGTGTATAGATAGTATGAGCTTGGATTATTGTATAGGTACTGACAATGTGTTCAGATTTAGTTTCTAAGGCTACTTTCTTTCGATCAGTGAATGAAATTGTGTCTTACAAGTTACAATTCTACCATGATACTTTTGGAACATTCCTGTAGTGGTTCTCCGATAAATGCCTTTTCCATTCTATATGAAAGGATATAGTTGTTGAAATGACTTGATAAAGTTGCTAATTGATAATGAAGCAGGAGAGCTTCTTTATTTATTTATTTTTAATTTTTTTTCGATGAGTAAGAAAGGAGGGAGATTTTTTATTGTCTGGTTAATACTTTTGGATTCCCTAGTGTGTTGGGTTACTCGACCTGTGACTTATAGAGAATTGTAATGATGTCTTGATGGCTTGGTGCGAAGTTACCACCACCCTTTTCTTGAGTTGATATGTGTTCCTGAGAAATTGCAAAAGATGGCGTTTTTTGGACTCTTGGTATACATGCAATGTCTCATTAACTGCCTCGTGTGTTTCCTAACTTGTTTTAATCACCTAGGTCGGACGAGGAAGTTGTAGATCAGAAGAAGCTACTTGAAGATACTTGTAAGCCAAAATGCATAAGGCAGCTCCGGGAATATCAGGTGATTACCACACCTACCGTAACAAAGAATAGCTTAGCATCTTTGAAATCATGAGTATCCTGTGGATCTCATCTTTGTTAGGGTGTATTATTTATCTAGTTATGTGCTTTACTGCTGTCATTCCTTTAGATCGGTTTAGTTTACTATCAAGATTTGGGAAATTGCTTATACTAAATTATTGAAATCTTGCATTTAAACAGTTAGAAGGTTTGGATGAGAATATGTAATTGGCTAATTACATGGTTCATCTGCTATGCGGCAATGATTGCGGAAATGACCAAAATAATATCTGAACCCAAGTGTATATAAGATAATACTTTTGTTATATGGCATAGCAAAGTTGTAAACTAGTTGGATACCATTGGATGTACTTGTTCATTTATTGAAAGAACTAGTTATAGACACACTCAATGCGCGATAAAAAAAAGTCCAATGAAATAACTATTATGAGGAAAAAATATATAAAAGATAATATAAATAATTCATAATATAAAATTTGAAATAAGTTGTAAGTGTATAAAAAAGTAAGACATAATATATAAATTATTATATTTACCAGTATTGTTTAATGGCGTTAAGAATAGGCTGGGGGAAAAGGAAAAAAAAGGAGCAAAATTGAAATTTTTTTAAGTGTACAGGAGAGAAAACACAATGTATAAGTTAACACTGAATCTAATTACACCAATACATTTTTATTCTCAATAGACCCTTACCAAATTGTTAAAAAAAATGATAAAAAATGTTGGTGGTATAAAATATTTCAACTGATTGTCTTTTGTGTTTTTTGCTCTAACAAAATGAAAGTACATTTGTGTATTTATAGTTACTATTGACATATGAGTTTTGGATTGCATTCCTTCTTAATCATGAAAAATATTAATCATATATTTTGCCTGTGTGAACACAAAAGAATAAAATCAGTTGGTTTAAAAGTTGGAACTACTAATGAAAAGCTTAATAAGGAACTATATATACGATCTAGGTATTGAGAACATTAAGTTTAAGATTTTTAATTTTGGTGGCCATTAAATTGCTCAAAATGTGATATTAAGGTTGGGAGCATTACATTTTAAGTTTTATATACTGTAGTCTAGTTACATGTAAACTAGTTGGATACCATATTACCATTGGATGTACTTGTACATTTATTGAAGAGTAAGTCTAGTTAGCATTGAATGCTAAAGCAATATGCACTTGTAGGACTTTGCTGAAATGTGACTATAGACATCTATCATATAGGGAACAAAACTATAACTCTGTGATCTGAAGGTGAAGTAGAATTGGATGCTTTAATGGTCTCTGTGGGTGCTAAAGCCACTGTAGATAACTTGGAGGACCAATAACAAAGACATCAGGGGACAATGGTGTATAGAAACTGGAAGGTTCTTTGGTTAGTGAATAATCAAGGTCTAGATTCGTTCATGCATATTTCTGCCTTATATTGTTTCTAAGTGTACAATCTAACCCTCACAGCTTAATTGAACCTACCCAGTTTTCTGGCTTAACCTAAATTTTTTTGGGTTGAGTGGGTATGGCTCTTCTGTCATCCTGTCCCCGACTGATCAGAGTGTTTTTTCTTGGTAACTTTGCCAAATATTTGATACTTGACTACATGTAAGGATGAAATATTTCAAAAGCTTCTTATTTATTTTGCAAGTAAAAATAAAGGAAAGAATTTCCAAAAGAGATGGGTCTTTTGACTACTGCCAAAGCTACTTCTCTAATGCCAGGTTAATACTTGGCAGTGATGAGGTTTACATGGGAAATTTGGTTTGCCAAGCCTTAGCAATCCTTAGAAAACTGGTTCAGTATCATGAATTCTTTTTAATAAATTTCAACCGTCCTTGCATCTCACAGGCATGTGCTAAACGGATTGAAGGTGATGAAAGTGGGCACAAACATTGCACTGGACAATATTTTGATTATTGGCACTGCATTGACAAATGCGTAAGCATCACTTCCTTCCCTCCTTTCTATTGATTCGTGTGCATTAGCTTAGCGTAGGTCTGATTTGTTCTTGAAACTCTTTTCGGGACACAGGTTGCCCTAAAGCTTTTTGCGAAACTCAAGTAGCAAGGATACATCGCATGTTTGCTAATCTGTTGCTGAGCAAGGCTTTTCTGCATTCATCATCTTTTTGTTAGAAGCTAGCAATGCTTCCAGGCAGGCTTATTAACTGCATTGAAACTCTTGAACTTCAAGGGTCTTGAATCTGATTTAATAAGAAATTTTACATTGGGCTTGAATCTTACTATACTATTTTCTATTCAAATTGTTATGTGATCATCAACATGTTTCTCTATTTGGTATGATTCATATCTTTTCAATGCACCCTTTATATGTATATATAGGCCAGTATTCCTGTGAGTCCACCCTTCCCCATGAGTCTGTGTGGACATATCTTGGCCATTGAATACTTGAGATCAATGGTTTAGATTTGGCCAACTGTGTAATTGTGCAACTCTGCACTTCACTTGCACAGTTGGCGAAATTTAAGCCATTGATCTCAAGCATTCAATGACCCAGATCTGTCCACACGGACTCATAATAGGATGGACTCATTTGATCACTAGTATGTATATATATATATATATATATATATATATATATATATATATATATATATATATTTGCATTTTTAAAATCTCAGTTTGAGTGCATATCTATATGTAACTAGATGCAATTTGTAGTGTGCCATTTCTTCCCTTATTAGTTTTGTCAAATCAATAATGTAATATTCTAACATTGAGAATATTACAATTACTTGTTTGCCAAGTTATGTGCAATGTCAACTTTATTTATTTACTTTTAATAATTGATAACAATTTTAGTGTAGTGGTTATAATAATATTTTCACTTTTGATTATTGACTATCAATTTAATAAGTTTTGGTCTCTTAATTTTATTTTATTTTATTTTTTTAAATTGATGAAATTTTAATGGAAAGTATTATCGGATATATCAATTTCACCTTTTCCATATAATAATATTTTATATAGAATTTAATCAATTAAAAAAAACCGTGAAAATGTTGTTATATTTAATACTAATGTTTTGCTTGTGTGATAAACTTTTCAAAAGTAAAAGTTTTTAATATACCATGATATTTACGGAGTACATTATAATGCAATCGTTATGCTTTGTAACATGGTGCACACGGTTGCGAACGACGCTGTTTCACTATGGTCGAGTAACGGTTAGTGGCGCTGTCTACTAATCAATTTTTTTTTTTTTTTTAAAACTCCAATCGATGGGATTTTCACTATTTTTGGTGTGGATATATAGTTCACTAATTTTGCATATATAGTTCACTAATTCTGGATACATAGTTCATTAATTCTGGATACATAGTTCACTAATTCTGAATATATAATTCATTAATTCTGGATATATAGTTTAATCATTCTGAATATATAGTTCATTCATTCTGAATATACAGACGCAGTGAACTGCCATAAGTCAAAACAGAGTACCAGTAACTTGTGTGGATAATTCTGGATATATAGTTCATTAATTCTGAATATATAGCACAATATAAATCCGTTAATGGTAATCAAAAATGATTTTTTTTTAAAAGTCGAACGCGTTGTTTTTAATCAAAACAATACCCTTTTTGCAACCGCATGGTGCACACGGTTGCACGGCATAATTTGCCATTATAATGGGCCATATGTGATCATAGGTTGGGCTTCCTCTAAGAGTGGACTGGGACCACAATCTCAAGGTTAAATTGATTTCAAATTACTTCGTTCAATTTAGTGTGAGATACCAAGTGGCTTGTGGTCCACTGGCTGGTTGTTCCCTTATGTAGGAGGTCTAAGGTTTGAGTTTCGGTGTAGGTGTAGATTGTATATGTGGATATCCCTCTTCTTTAATTTTGTTATAAAAAAAATTTAGTGTGAGATGAGTTTGAACTTGATTGAGAATTATCTCTAACTTTAAGAGTTAATTCTATTTTTAGTTCTAGATTTATAAGTGATAGTCCACTTTTTTTTTTTTTTTTTTTTTTTTTTTTTTTTTTTAATTATCAAAACATCCCCTTTTGATTTTAGTATTATTATGACATGATCAATTTTGGCCCTCTATCAATAAAATCGTAGAAATTTCGTTAAATAGAAGGACATTTTGATCTTTTTAATACAAAGTGTATTGACCCGTTATATATTTTATGTTTATTTCTTGAAAAATTTCGTAATTGATGAGCGAAATGCTTTTGTATTTAATGTAATTTCAATGATTTTTTTGATAGAGGATCAAAATTGGTCATGCCACAATAATCTAGGACAAAAAAGAGATGTTCTGATAAAAAAGTACTAAAAGTGGACTGTCACCTTCTAGGACCAAAATGGAATTAACTCCTAACTTTAATCACATCTTAACAAATCTTTATGAAACTTTGTACTTGAACATGCATCTATTCGTAGACTTATTTTATGAAGAAAAAAAAAGAAGAAAAAGGAGAGATACAATTTTGAATAAGAAAATTTTATTTTTAAAGTAGGGTATGAATGTATGATACAATAGAAATGCTATTACCTAAAATGACTAAAATCCCATAATCAACATATAAAAGTTTTGTAAAATAAGATAAATGTATTCAACAAATTTTCAAAAAAACCATATCTTATAACTTTTTTTGAATTACGGAAAAATTTACAATCGTTATTCGAGTGTACGTGCTTTAAGTGAATATTTTATAACTTTATAATATGGCGGTTGAAGGTATCATCTTAGATTCTTAGTTGACAATCACTTGATGTTAATATGTTATTGAGATAGGTTTAATTTATTACATGGTACATAATTAATGGAGGAAACAAGATTCAGTTTAGTTTACATAAAATTTGGTTGGAATTGTTGGTTTTTAACATGCTTAAATTTTGGAAAAATGATATTTTTGTCCCTAAATTATAAAGAAATTGTATTTTTTGTCTCTCAGTTATACCCGTATGTCACATTTTGTCTCTCAACTTTAAAAAAAAAAAAAAAAAAATTCTTTTCCTGCCTATAAGACGACGTTTTATTAAAGTTGAGTTTAAAAAAAGTTACTTTACCTTATCAAAAAAAAAAAAAAAAGTTACTTTACAAACAATTAAGGAACAAAAAAAGCATTTCACAAGCTAGCAATTGAGGGGTAAAAAGTGATAATGATATAATTGAAGGACAAAAAATGTTATGAAGTACATATTTCTTTATAATTCAATGACAAAAAGTGTCATTTTCTTTTAAATGTTTGTTTCTTATATTTATTTAATAATTGAGAAATATTAAAAAATTAAAAAAAAATTTCTTATCATGCCAATGTGCCAATAGTTCTAGGTATGGCAACTAATCACTATATGTATATTATTTTTTGTTGTATTGAGTACTATCATCACTATTACTAATAGTACTCGATACTTCTGTCGGGCCGGGATGTGGGTGGCCCTTAGGGTTGGGGTTCAGCCTTTTGGAAGAATAGTACTCGATACTCAGTATAATTGACATTAGTGGTAATTACACCATAATTTTTTTTTTAAAAAAAACATAAAATATTAAATTTGTTTTACATATATTTATTAGGGAGTAAAACTTTGTTAATACAAATAGATTTTAATATAGTATTATATCTTTCTTTCATATATTTTTAAAAAATATTTTTTTTTTTGTAATAAGTAAATTATAAAGTTTTAAATTAAAATGTTTTTTTTTTTTTTCAGATTTAATTAGAAATTATGTAAGTATAGATTGTAAATATTACTTTACTTATTTTGGATGACGAGAGAAACCCACAATAATTATCTTATGGTTTGCACTAGTTAATATCATGCAATTAAGCTACATAGAAAAGGTAACCGTACTAGAAAGACTTTGTGTGACGAATGACAAGTTTGACCGAGAGGATAATATTACTTTATTTAGTTTAGTAGAATATTTGACTCACCATTGTATACGTAAAATGATTCTTACATGAGTTACATGCTCGTTAATTTATTTTATTTTTAACATAAAAGTATTTTTATTTTCACAAAACATCATATATCTTACCTTCACTGCTGAATATTTCGCTAGTTCCGCTTAACATAAATCATGAGCGTTATTTTGTAAAACATCACAACTTCCCATGCCAACGTTGAAGATAAATGAATGTGCGCATGGTAAGTTGGTCGGAATTTTCTTCCAACATATAGTGTTGGACGAAAATTCTGATTAGCATGCTATATTGGAAGCTAAAACTTGATCATATATATGATTGGTATGTAAAAAGTTAAAATGATAGGATTGGCCATTTACCAACTTACATTGTAGACGAAAATTAGACTATTTAAATAATCATCTGTGTATCCCTCATTTTTTTTTTTTCAACTTCCTCCCATCTTTACTCTCCTATATTCTCCTCCAAATCAGCAATTAAACAAAGACTGAATTGGACTGAAATAACCAAAAATCAAAATGGTGGATTTCCGCTCCTATCCTACTTTCCGTCCACAAATGAGGTGTTGGACGCTAGCTAGTTCTGTCTAACACTAGTTGTTGGTCGGTAATTTTGACGGTGGATTTTTCAAATCTCGATTTTGATCGGCATTTGGTCAGAAGACCTATTCCAGTCCTTAAAAAACTCGTTTTATTGGTCGTGTTGAGCATATACCTATTAATGTGCAATCCAACTATCAGTTTAGGCTTTTAGTTAAGATGGAACACATGCTTCAATTCGGAACTCGGACATCGTGAGATTTTCAACAATGTCTTACCCACAGTAGGGGCATTGTTGTTGTTAATTTTTTTTAACCTTGTAGTACTAAAATGTGTGTATTTGTAGTCATCTATAATTTTAAATGCTACCTCTTAAATGTGTACCAAAAAAAGTAAAAAATTACTCCATAAGTCTAATTTAAAAAGTAAAAACTATTGATAGCCTCTATAACCAACTACTAGATATTTTTGTGTGTGTAAATCACGATGTGGTCCGAGTTTTTCTCTCAAAATTTTTTCCCACAAAGAAAGTTCATTTGACACTTGAGCTACCCCATTGGGTAACTAGATGATGATGATGATTATAATAATAATAACATATTTGAACGCGAAAGCACTCACCTTTAAACATTTCTGTGCATCAGAGGTTAAAACATTGTAAAAGTGATTGAATGGTTATATAAAAAATACTGCATAGTTTACAAAAATAACATTGAAAAGATAAAGAGTTTTTAGAATTTAACAGTTAAACCTAGTGCTTCCAAGTGACTAATTCTACCATAACCTTATAATCAATTAATAAACCATTTGCATATAATTGAATGGCCAAAATGCTATTTTTTCAAAAAAAAAGAAGAAGAAAATATTTTAACTCTATAGGTCTAACTTAAAACTATTGATAGCCTCTATAATCACTACTAAAAAAAATTGAAGTAAAATTTTTCATTGCTTTATTATACTTTATAAAAGCTATTGATAGCCTTCTATAACATTATAAAATTTATTGTTACATCCTCTCAAATGCTCTGTCGGGCTGGGGTGTGGGGGCCCCTTAGGGTTGGGGTTCAGCCTTTTGGAAGAATAAAATTTATTGTTCCATTCAGTTTCCATATATATATATATATATATATATATATATATATATATATATATATATATATATATATATATATATATATATATATAAAATCATTACCTTGTTTTATATTTCAAATACTACAGTCACACAATATTAACGAATAAAGATTTTTTTGAAAGTAAAAACCGGATATATTAGCGAAGAAGAACAGAAACAAAGTCAGGGAATGCCTGTGAAAAAGCTGCAGACGCTAAAGAATGAGCTAAACGGTTCGACGTACGAGGAACGAATCTAATAGAACAAGAACTAAACAAACTCATTAAACTCTTACAATCCGAAATAGCTAAACCAACATAAGATCTAATAATAGTCGATGACGAAGAAAGAATCTAGCAAAGATTTGAACAATCCGAATGTAGTTGGACGGACGACACACTCTGCCCCGAAGCCAAGAGAGGACCTCCTTACATGTCAAAGCTTCAACCATAAATGGACTAGAGTAGAGGGGAAGTGGTGGATTCAAAACACCAAATTATGATTTAATGACTTTGTATTGTATTTACAAATTCCTTTCTACATCTGTTATGTGTTTTGCCTTAGAATCATAATTTATATTCTAGAAATTCACAATTAAAATACTAATAAAAATTCATAATTTATATCGTTTATGATTATTGTCCACCCTGCAAGGTGGACCCTGGTCCATGTTATAACAAAACTAGACCGACAAATTCTATAAATTAGTATCATTTGCTTGTGCTTTCCACATGCCCACTTCTCTTCAATCCCATAATAACTAGAATATATAATATACATACATTTTTCTTTTCTTTTCTTTTATATTAATGGCAAAAACTAATGATCAAGAAAGTAACCAAGAAGTTGACTTCTCTAAGAGGGCACAATGGCTTAGGGCAGCTCTCCTAGGTGCCAATGACGGCTTGCTCTCAACCGCATCGCTCATGATGGGCGTTGGGGCCCTCCGGAAAGATTCCCGGACGATGGTCCTCGCCGGAATCGCCGGGACGGTCGCCGGAGCGTGCAGCATGGCGATCGGAGAATTCGTGTCCGTGTCCTCGCAGCACGACATGGCGGTGGCGGAGATGGAGCGGAAGGAGGGCCGGGGGGAGGCGGGGGCGGTGGAGGCGGAGAAGGAGAGTTTGCCGAACCCGTTTCAGGCGGCCGTGGCGTCGGCGGTGGCTTTCGCGGTGGGGGCGGTGGTGCCGCTGCTGCCGGCGGCGTTCATAAGGGCGTACCGGTTGCGGGTGGCGGTAGTGGTGGCGGTTTCCAGCGCGGCGTTGCTAGGGTTTGGAGGGTTGGGTGCTTATCTTGGGAGGGCTCCTTACGTGAAGTGTTGTTTTAGGGTTTTGATTGGGGGGTGGGTGGCTATGGCCATCACTTTTGCATTTTCTAAGTCATTTGACGTACTAGGATTTTAATGCGTACGTGCATGCATATTGCATGCATGGGTACGATGTACATAACGTGCATACTATCATGCATGTGTTAATACCTGATTTATAAATCTTTTGACTATTTAAATTTTATCACTTTGATCATCGACTTTCAAACTTGTTCAATTTCATCTTAAACTATGCAGTTTTTACCTAAAATAGTCACTGGTCCAAATCAAAATAATCATGATTGATGATAATTTTGGTTAACAATGACATAGTTGACGATGAAATTGAGTAAGTTTGGGAGTCGATGACCGAAGTGGTGAAATCTTAATAGTCGATGGACCAAATCAAGTATTAACTCTATTATGCATATATAGGAGGCCAGTTTGTTTTATCTATTCTAAAAACTAATAAGTGTGAATGAAAGTTATACCCTTCATTTATGTTTGTTTTTTCGTTATGTTTTTTTTTTTTAATACATTATGCTATAAAAGTTGTACTATACAATATTTTGGACAAACATACTCCAACTATTATAACTTCCGTAATCTTTTCCACTATTGTTATTATGCACATGCATCCACCGTATATTTTCTTATCTTCTTCAATAATACTAATATCTTCTTCAATAATATATACACATTATATATTGGAATTTTTTTTTTTGTTTTGAATGCTACTGACTCTATTACATTGTAGTATCTGTTCAAACATACTTTCTCAATTTATTGAAGCACAAAGAGTCAACACCGCCTCCACTGAGACTCGATCTCATGACCTAATTCCCATATTATAATTATATGTTAGTTATTTTCTAAAATATAAATATCAAATTTATAAAAATATTTTATATTATTATTATTAGTATTATTAGTATTATTATTATTATTATTAATAAACCCTACTTTTAAGAAAGGTTTCGGATTCAAATTAGTCTTATGAATGAAATAAGTAATAAACGTGGAAAGAGTTCTTTATATTGGTTTCGATTGCAACTCGAGTATGAAACGAATTATGATATAAAATGGAAATAACAACAACAACATATATGTGTTTCTCACTTTTTCCATCAGTTATTTTGATAAGTTATTTCCTCTATCTTGCTTCTTTGGCGAGTTATTTCCTCTCGTTTCTTTGGCAAGTTCTTTTTTCATTAAGGTGAAACGATTTAAGTGATCATGACGTATGTTTATCTCATCCTGAGCAACGAAGAAGATCTGAACCACGATATCCAATTCAGATTAATGAAGATATTGTCTAGAAGAGCCGCAATAGTTACTCAGGTGGTATGCAAGACTTCCCAAACAGAGTCAGTCTTGGATAGCCAGATCATTACCAACATCAAAGAAGCTTCAGGTTCCACCAATGAATTCAGCTTCAATCTTGTAACATAGTTTGCGATTCAAGTTTCTTTTAGCATTGCTAGGAAAGTTGTTTCTATGTCTGAAGAATGTTTTATCATTGTATTGATCTTTATTGTAACTATTTCAACTTATGATTAATGAATTAGCTCTTTATTTTCAAAATAATAATAATAATAATAATAATAATAATAATAATAATAATAATAATAATAATAATAATAATAATAATAATAATAAGCTTATGATTAGAATTTCTCATGTAAATATCTTGTGAAATTATATTCTCACATGTCTAATCATATCCTATATTTATGAAATTAATTATACTACTATAAAAATAACATATAATGCAGTACTTATAACGTCGATTTTTATAAAATCGCCATTAAAACATTAAATAAAATAATAATTAAAAAAAAAAGCTTTAACCATTGGTTTTTAAAACATTTATATTGAATTTGCATGTATTTTTTAATAGATGACAATAATGATAAGACTTTGATTCTCAGGTCATCGGAATTTATGAATAATGGCGATTGGCGAACGGTAGCCGGTCATGGAGAAGGAGACTAAGGTCGCCTTCTCGTCGGAGAAGGCAATCACAGTGGTTGCCTTCTCCGTGACCGGTGACCGTTCGCTGGTCGTCGATCACTTTGTTGCCTGATATTTATCAGAATTTCATCGGCGGGTTATCGAAATCTAAATGATCTGTGATAACATGTCATTAACAATTTTTAGTTTCATTGCATCAAAATAAATTGTTGATGGTTATAATTACATATTAAAAAGTTAATTTACTTTTCAATTAATGTTTAATGATCTATTTGATCATTTTCCCTAAAAAAATATTTCAAACATTTTGTACAAGACATTATTACAAACTCCATTGTACGACGTACGTGTGCCAAAGGCCATATAGGCATGTATAATATGTCAACTCTTCAAGTACACCATGGAATAATGGCTATTTACTCTAGTTTCACTATACTAGCCAAACATTTGTGGTACAAATTAATTAGAACATCCACAATAGCATTGAATTTTTTTGTGGTTTTTGATGTGACACTAGGAGAGAGAGGAGGGAGAAAAAAAAAAAGAAGAAGAAAAAAAAAAAACTAGTAGGTAACGTGCCCAGCTGGGCACCTGCGTCTCCAGTATGCGGAAACAATCTTTTCTTTTTGTATCCATTTCTCAAAATGTAGACCCCATAAAAGTCTATCACTTACGAGAGTAAAATTTTCCCAAAAACCTTATCCCGCATCAACAAAAAACCATGCTTTTTTATTTTTTTAGTACTGTTCCAAAAATCCACCATAATTCATTGGTGTGGTTGCTCTTAGAATCATATAGTGTGTGGGTATATATATATATATATATATATATAGAATTAGGTTCTGGTGCGGTTAAGGTGCCCATGTGCGGTTTAATCTGGGCCATTTATCTAGCTTAAATCAACGTCCAGGATTACTAAAATTTAAAAAAAAACGCGGTGGCAATTTTGTAATTTTTGCATCTAGGTCAAAATTAAGGTGAGCGGATCTGTGATTAATATGCGTGAGTTTTGTATATAAGATGCGTGAGGTTTGTGCGTAAGGTGCGTGAGGTTTGTGCTTAATGTGCGTGGGGTTGTGCTTAATGTGAGTAGTTGTTAAAACTTAAAGTCTGTGAGTTAATAATTAAAGTGTGTGGGTTTTGTGCTGCGTGAGGTTGTGCTTAATGTGCGTGGGTTTTGTACTTAATGTGCGTGAGTTTGTGCTTAATGTCAGTAGTTGTTGAAACTTAAAGTCTGTGAGTTAATATTTAAAGTGCGTGAGTTTTGTGCTTAATGTGCGTGAGGTTGTGCTTAATGTGTGTGTGTTTTGTACTTAATGTGTGTGAGTTTGTGCTTAAGATCTAACACTTAAGGTGCGTGTTTCTATCACTTAAGGTGCGCCATTTTTAGCTTATACTTCTTTCTTCCAGACAAGCGATTTTTTTTTTTTTTTTTTTTTTTTAAATTTTCATTGATTTGAGCCGTTGATCTAAATTTGATCAACGACTCAGATCTAACCGCACAACTGCACGTCCGCACCTGAACCCTTCCCCCGTGCACGTCCGCACTTGAACCCTTCCCTAAAATTACACTAGACTTGAAAATGTAATCGAGAGTGAAACATTAATTAAATATGTTGTCATTTGTCAAGCATTTTTTTTCATGTCGCGTGTAAAATATAATTGAGAAACACTAATATTTTTTGATCTCTTTGTGCATTAAAATAACACTAGACTTGAAAAAGTAATCGAGAGTGAAACATTAATTAAATACGTTGTCTTTTTGTCAACGTTTTTTTTAATGTTGCGAGCGATTTCGTTATGGGAAGAGAAAAATATCATTTTTTTTCCTCAATCAAATTGAATCAATAATTACTCAATAATCATCATTGAACATGAAACTAAATTCAAGGAGCTAGCAAGCTAGTTCAGGCAAGAAATAGTACATATGGACATACAGCCATGCATGGACCAAAGGTTTAGATGAGATGATTTTGTGAGGTTGATAACACACACACACACACACACACACACACACACACACACACACATATATATATATATATATATATATATATATATATATATATATATATATATTCAAATTTAAATCCAAGAAACTAATATAACATGATTCAAAATTTTTTATAATCATATATGCTAGCTTTAAATTTCATTTAGTTATACCGAGTATTATTGACACCAACATTAATAATACACCTGGTACTACCGACAACAATGACATTTATTGATTGATATAGAAAAATGTTAAGTATACTTCCAGAAGTATTACTTATTGGGATATTGAAAACAATTTAAATTTTCAATTCAAGAAGGTAATAAGTGATTTTAGAAATTTTAGTAGGGGTGTTCATAGTGCATGCACAGTATACTTGGTTGTATTCCCACACTGCTGCTACCGAGATTCGAACAGAACATTCACTACTGGAAATTATGGAATTTCCGACCACATGAAAGTGATCTTAAATCAAGTTGATACCAAAAAGTGGTCGGAAATAGCAACAAAGGTTTTTCCGGATACCAAAAGTGGTCGGAACAAGACTTTCGACTTGATTTAAGATCACTTTCAGGTGGTCGGAAATTTCATAATTTCTAATAGTGATTGGTCTCTTCTCCCAAATGCTAGTTGCATACTAAACCAGTAAGCTAAGTCTGTGCGGACAAAAAATTCCATATTATCATCATTGAATTGACACTTTGGCACCCTAAAAAAATTCCATAATTTTAGCATGAGAAAATAACATTTTAATTTTCTTTTATTAATTGATTGATCGATTTGCATTAATTCATGACTGTTGTTTTAATTCTGTGGTCTTCAAACGACACAACATTATCTCTCAAGTCCTAAAACCATTAAAAAATGTGTCAAGAAATGTTGTCCATAGAGAACATTTCTCCATCCAACGTTAGTCTTATATTGTGCTCCGACAACAAAGGAGATCCGTCCGGCCATGGAAACCAGCAAAGAAAAGCACAAAAGTAAAAGAAAAAACAAAAACAATGTAATAGTTAAGGAAGAAGAAGATTGACAGAGACGACGAAAATAGCAATAGAGGGAGAAGAAAGAATAGAGGGATTAGGATACTTAGCTTGATCTGAGTGTCCTATACCCAATTTTCTTTCATATTTCTCTATCTTCTCCTTCTCCCTCTTTTCCCAATCCAATCTTCTTATTAGCTTGTTAGATCATTTTCCATTATCACAACTTTCGATCGTTGAGTTGATATATAATGCACAAAAACTCTTGAGACGACGGGTCTATTTTGACAACGTTTGGATCATTGATAATGCACATGCATAAATTCTTGAGAATGAGAGCTTTCGTCGTGTTTTAGACATTATTTTACACAGAAAACTTACCAGAAATTGTGAGAATAAAGGATTCTTTAATTTCGTGTTGCATGCACATCTCTCTCATCCTCTAAAACAGGTATTTTGTCACTCTTTCAATATCTTACTATACCGGTTACATAATGCACAAAAACTCTTTAAAATAATATTTTCGCTTTCATTTCATCTATGTAGAAAACTTACCAAAAACTTGTTAAAAAATAGGAATTTTTTTTTTCATCTCATGCATGCACAAGCATGATCTCCCTCGCCCCCTAAACTAGTATTTCATCATCCCTTACAAAGTCTTGATACCACAAAAACTTTTAAAAAGTGGTATTGTCTTGTTCCATCCTAACATTTTTGCATATAAAACTTACCAAAAACTCCTTCAAATAAAGGGTTATTATCCCTACTTCATCCTTAAAATAATTCTAAAATGTCTATCATTACCTGGTCGATTTACAATATATAATGGTGCAGGACCTTACATTATAGGGTTGTGGTGATATTTTCTAGTGTATTTCACACTGGTGAATTTATTCCTACCTACGACATGATTGCACGTCTTAGGGTTTTGGTGAAATTTTATAGTGCATTTGTGTATTTCATCTTGGTGTGTTTTTGAACACTTTGTATTGTATCTATATATATGGTGTAATTAGTAAGGTTGCATAGGCACATGGTACCGCGTTAGAACCAATATATATATATATATATATATATATATATATATGTGTGTGTGTGTGTGTGTGTGTGTGTGTGTGTGTGTGTGTGTGTGTGTGTGTGTGTGTGTGTGTGTGTGTGCACTTTTCTCAAACAATTTTGTGATACGTTTATGACCAGTTGAGTTATCCATGTAGGATTTGTGTAGCATTTGTTGTAGCATGTTCCATGGGATATGATGCATTTATGCATGCAATATAATTTGTGTTTGAATTTGCAGAAGTTGAGAGGGGAGAAGTAAAATTAAAGCATAAAAGGTGGCTCTAATTCGAATAGCCCTTCTAGTTCTCATGGCCCCCAGCAAGTTACGGAAAGCCATTGGGGCGGTGAAGGACCAGACAAGCATCCGCCTGGCCAAAGTCGCCGGCAGCGACGGAGCCCTCGCCGACCTGGAAGTCGCCATCGTGAAAGCCACCAGCCACGAGGACTTCCCGGCGGAGGAGCGGCACGTGCGGGAGATCCTCGGTCTCACGTGCTACTCGCGCGCGCACGTGGCGGCCTGCGTGGGCGCCGTCTCGAGGCGGCTGAGCAAGACGCGGAACTGGGTGGTGGCGCTGAAGGCGCTCATGCTCATCCACCGCCTCCTCACCGACGGCGACCCCGCGTACGACCAGGAGATCTTCTTCGCCACGCGCCGCGGCACGCGCCTCCTCAACATGTCCGACTTCCGCGACGCCGCCTCGCGGTCGGAGTCCTGGGATTTCTCCGCCTTCGTGAGGACGTACGCGCTGTACCTGGACGAGCAGCTGGAGTTCCGGATGCAGATCCGCCGGAGCGGCAGGAAGCAGCGCAGGGCTTATGAGGAGGAGGAAGAACGGGAGGAGGAAGAGGAGGAGGAGGCGGCGGCGGCCACCCCGGCCATATTGTCCACGCCGGTGAGAGAGCTTAAGATTGAGCTCGTCTATTCCAGAATCCATCACTACGTCCACATTCTCGACCGCTTCTTAGCCTGCAAACCAACAGGTCGGTTTTATGTGTTACAACTTTCTTTAATTTTAGCCAAATACTCTATTGAACTTTTAGTTTTGAGCGGATCAACTATGAATTGATTAACTACCTTATAATCTTTGGTTAAGTAACAATATTGAATTTATTCAGTACACAATCAATTTTGAATAGTAACACAATGGTTGTCTCAGTATATATATACATACATATATATATATATATATATATATATATATATATATATATATATAATGTCCTAACGAGACAACATCTTTCCGTGTAATGGACACAATATTAATACGCACAATCTACTATAGAAGTGCAATTGTGTGTCTGTTGTGCAAATTGTAAACGGGTATATATAGTGGACAGCTGCCTAGAAATTCGTCATTCTAGGCGCCAAAAAAAAGGGGCCAACTAAGCCATCATGGATTGGGCGGTCATCTAGGCGCCAAAAAAAGGGGCACCTGTGCGTTCCCCGGCGTCCGTGGAACGCCTAACGATTTTTGTAACCTTGTTATATATATTAGACAACATATTCAGATTAATTTCCGTTCGTAACGAATTGGTCTAATTAAAAAATAAAGTACTAGTCAAATTGATTTTTCTATACAAGAGAGGGTTCGAATTCGACCTTTCTTTAAGGAACAAGAGTGCAAGGCCCTTCATGTTAACTAAGCTGATGGCTTTAATTTCTGATCTCTTTCCCATTCAGGTGGTGCGAGGAGCAGCAGAATGGTGCTGGTAGCGCTGTACCCAGTAGTGAAGGAGAGCTTCGTAATCTACTTTGACATGGCAGAGCTTCTGGAGATCTTGATTGACAGATTCATGGAGCTTACCATTCCAGACTCTATAAAAGTCCACGACATTTTCTGCAGGGTGGCTAAGCAGTTCCAAGAGCTACAGATGTTCTACGCCTGGTGTAAAGCCACCGGAATCGCTCGCTCCTCCGACTACCCTGACGTCGACAATTACCCGCAGAAGAAGCTCGAACTCATGGAAGATCTTATCCGGGAGAAATCGGACGAGAAATGGAAGAAGCGGAATGAAACGCCGGAGAAAATGGAGGTGGTGGTGGTGGAGGCGGAGGCGGAGGCGGAACAGGATATGAATGCGATAAAAGCGCTGCCGCCGCCGCCGCCGCAGCCGGCGGCGGCGGAGACGGAGGATTTCTTTGACGCGATGGAGGAGGTGGTGCCGGAGAAGAAGGGGCAGGATATCGGAGATCTGTTGAACTTGGGGGAGGATGCGCCGACGGCGGAAGAGCACGCGAATCAGTTGGCTTTGGCTTTGTTCCAAGGCGGCGCCTCTGCGGCGGCGGCGGCGGCGACCACGGCTTCGCCGTGGGAGGCGTTCAGTGATTCCGGGGACTGGGAAACCGCCCTGGTCCAATCCGCCAGCCACCTCTCAAACCAGACGGCGCAACTCCCCGGCGGCTTCGACATGTTACTCCTTGACGGAATGTACCAGCAGGGAACGATCAACCACGCCGTCGCCTCCTCCGGCGTGATCACCACCGGCAGCGCTAGCAGCGTGGCCTTCGGTTCGGCCGGGCGCCCCGCAATGCTGGCTCTGCCGGCACCGACCTCCGGCGCAGCCTACACAGCTCAGGGAATGGACCCTTTCGCCGCCTCGCTCTCCATTCCGCCGCCGGCGTACGTGCAGATGTCGGAGATAGAGAGGAAACAGAGACTGTTAATGGAAGAACAGCTGATGTGGCATCAATTTTCCAGAGATGGAATGCAAGGGCAGGCAGGTTTTGCTAATGTTCATCAACCAAATCCCTACACAAGAACCTACTCAAACAAGTATTGATTGCAAGTTTTCCCCGACACCCAAAAAAACATGAAACAATAAACACTTTGATAGTGGTTGCGAGTTTTTCTCGTCACCCTAAAAAACATATATACATATATATACTTTGGTAGTGGACAGTGGCTGCGAGTTTCTTCTGTCACCAAAAAAAGGGTTAATACATCCAATGGTCTTTCGATCCTAATTTTTTTTAAAAACCCAAGTTTAAAATGACCACGAGACGTCCTAAAAGGACCATGGGTGGTTATTTTTTAAAACATGGAGGATCATTGGAGATCATTTAAAACTCAAATGATCACAGTTGGTAAATCGCTAATACTCGGAAGACCATTGGAGGTATTAACTCCAAAAAAAACATATATATGTATGTATATCATGATGAGCTCTCAGCTGTAACTCGTTCTTTTTTGTACAGTTATGGTAGTTTTTTTGTTTAGGTTGCTTTCAATCTAAGAATCATAATTTCTTGTGGATATAATGTTCAAGAATGGACAATATGACAATAGTTCTACTATATGGACTTTCTGAATTTTACTTTCCAATGTGACGGACAAACTACTTTTTTTATGTGGGTCCTAATATAAATATTTATATCAAAATTTTATGTGTGAAAATAAAAGTAAGAGTAGAAAATGAAAATACACATAGTATTTTACATATGACAAAGGGTCTAGGGATCTTGGGACATAAATGAAGTTGCCACAAAAGTGTACGTCTGGTTGGAATCTGTTGCAAATATAGAGATAATTTGATGTAAAAGAATTTCACAAGTTGGATTATATTGGAATATAATATATAAGTCGGTTGATATGATCACGTGTCAAAATATGATTATGGAAAAAGAATAAAGGGGGGAAGAATCAAGAGTCCGAGAAAAAGATCAAGTATTTAAACAAGAGAGATTAGAGAAATGAAATGATATTTTCGTTATATTTTGATGATTCTTTTGTTGTACACCATCACTATTTATACCAATGTACGTAATAACTAAGTTACTAAAATTATTCTAATTTAATGAAATGAGGTAATGATTCTTCCTAATTTAAAGTTATGTAATCCGATATTGTCGTAGCTTCTATCGCAAATAATTAATTACATTTAATTTATCTGTAAACGTCTTTCTTTTTAGGTGTATCATCAAACTTTGTCAATTGCATTAACAATAATCATGTGTTTTTGTAGACACCCCCAACTGCATTCCCATTGAAACTAATGTCTCGAGTGATTTTGCACTATTTCCCAAGAGGTCCTTATCTATCCTTAATGAACCCTGCATTTGAAGATCAACAAAGATTTAGTTGATTATCATACATTTTGCATCCTTAATGCAAGCCTATCTATGCATTGCACACTTTCAAGTTCAAGTTTTTGAAGCGTTGAGAGTATATAATATATAAAATATAAATATGTAGTCTCACTATCAAATTATATTTTTTGGATTAGACTACAATTTTTCTCAACCAGAACCTCACACACTGAGACTAATCATATTCGTGTTAAGTAAGACCTCAAAGGGTGACAAAGTATTCTCTCGTGAATTTTAAAATAGTATAGTTGAGACAGAACGTATCTTTGAGTTTCAAGATGCTTGGGGACTTACCTTTTCAAAGATGCAAATCACAGTGCTTCCACCAAAAGAGAAATACCCAAACTGTAAAGCAATGGAGGAAGATAGAGAACTGATAAGAGACCAGGCTGAAATGGCTTTTAAAGAGAAGAAAGATGAAAAGAAGAACAAAGATTTAAGTTGTTAATGATGATGAACCTCTTCTCCCTTTCTAACATAGTCTCCTTCCTTCTTTGAAAAATTAATGCTGCCAACCATTGTTGCCCCAATTGCAACAAATGCCACCTACATTCAAGAAACCAAGAAAATCAATCGGGCCGACGATCAAGGTCACACAAATACAGATTGGATTGAATCCAACCAATTAACTAGTTTAATCCAATACGACGTTATAAACTCATTTTTCAACCCATGTGTGATGGAATAATGATGGAAAGTGAAGATTGGCTCACTAATATGTGCCATAGCTCCAAAACAACAAACCTTTCCAAAGTCTTCTGTTGAGATTATGGATACAACCCTCTTATTCTCAGTGAAAACATTGCAGTACTTGCTATTAACAGCAATAGGATTCACCTAGTGGATAAAACACAGGCAGCAAATGAGGATGGTTTAAGGAGATGCAAAATATAAATCATTGGCACAAAAAAACACTTCACATACTGTGTATAAACAACCAGGTATATCAATGAAGGTTTTGACAGTTCCTGAGACGGGTGAATGGTAACGGTGATAGTCCTGCAATTTGAATATAAATGGTTGCAGAAGTTGAAGAGTATAGTGATAAACAAAATGATTCAGCATAGAAGTTGACAGTTCCAGAATAAAGGTGAATGGAAATAGTAGTACCTGTGGTGCCAACCTAAATATCACCAAACTTCCATCAATGAAGGCATCAGAGCACACTTCATTCCCTAAAAGACCTTGGATGGAAAACTTTCGTCCCTGAGGTAATATATAGCAAAGTTATATATGAAATGTGGGAGTATCAGGAGATGTTTCGATTGAATTTGTTAATGATAATAGTCATTTTTCTTTTGATTAATGATGTTTTTATGTCATTCAAATAGCATGGACTCCTTAAACCATCAAAACATAGCCTTGCATGTTGGATCGAATTTTTTTTTTTTCTTTTTTCTTTTTTTTTTGCATATTTGTTATAAGTTCAGCAAATGGAATTTCTGAACAGAAAGCAACGTATACCTTGATCCAAAATCTTGAACTATCTGTAACAGAGTTGAATGCCATCATACGACAATCGGCTGCACATACAGCAATGTTATCGTGTTCCAAGTGGGCGATTGGCCTTGCGCCAGGCTTCAATTCTCTCGTGAAAAATTCGTTGAATGTCTGTCCAAAATGAATTAATCTTTAGTATCAAGCAATGTTAAATGAGATTCCACTTTGTCCAGAAGTCTTGCCTACCTTAAAATGCTCCAATGGGTACTTCATTTCATTCATGTTGATTTGATCCTACAAAATAACTCTGTCAAACACAGATTCATAATGAACTTGATTGAATATCAGATGTTTGTTACATGGCTAACTAAGAGAAAGATGGAGATTCACTCAGAAAAATACCTTAAAAAATTCAACAAATTTTGTTATGTCTTTAGCAGATTCAAGAGAATCCATTTTTTTGCCTTGTTTTTCTGAGATGCTTTGCAGGATTTCTTTTGCTCCTGTATCAATATTGGAAAAAAAAAATTTATCAAAAAGTAATCATTGAAAACAATCTAATAACCTTTATGTTGTCAGTGCACCCCTTTAAGTGAAAGATGGTGAATATGTAGACAGAGAATCTGTTAGATCATTATAGTAAAAGCCATACCACTGCCAATAAGGCCAACGCCAAACTTAGATTGATAAATAGCTCTCATTGATAACACAATCTTGCGGTCGATTATTTCCTCCACAAGCCTCTTCTTTCGTCGATCATACACCTACGGTCACAGAAGAAGTATTCATCTCAACTAAAAGTCTAAGCTGATAGTAGGACTACATGTTTATATTTTATATGTTATATGCTCAACAAAGAGAATGCCAACTTACCAAGATACGCGATGCACTTGCTCCAGATCTCAGACCGATCTCGTAGGTTGAGAAATGAGCCCATTCACTCAGTTTGAACATCCATCTATACACAGATATTTTAAGTTCTAAAACCTGATTATCTTGCAACCTTAATAGAACAGCACGATATAAGTTATAACAATCTGGTTTTTGCAGCAGTGATGAAGAGTTCTTACCCACTTGAAGCCTGCTTATCTGTTAGGAATCCTCCAGTCATAACTTGGCTACCAGTTCCTTCGTCGAAACACAAGGTCAAATGAATCATGCAGTTCAACCTATCAGAAAGTTCAAGAACCTCGCCACAAACTGGGCAGCAGTTGATCAAAGGATCCCTGCAAGAAAACGTATGCATGTTGTCTGATCAGCAATGGATACATCTTTTGAGTTTTGACAGAAAGATTCATTCATATTGGCAGAAAAGAAGTAAAGCTGATTACTTGATTTTTTGGAACAAATGTTAAAAATTCAGTCCTTACCGCTCTTTGTGAACAGTCAAAAGCATAGCCAACTCATCCAAGCTAACAACGCCATCCCCATTCGTGTCAGCCTGTCTGAATAGCTCCTGTTTCTGATACACCAGAAAAATAAAATGCTAAGTGAATCTGATCTCTACTAACAAAGTTGTATCAACTGAGAAAGAAACGATAATTCAAACCTTTTCAGCAGCAAATTGGTTGCCAAATGCATCAACTAAATCAGAGAACTCAGCCAGTGAAAGCTCTCCATCTTCATTGTAGTCCTGAAGAGAGCAATCAATCAATCTCAGTTCTCAGAAAGCACTTTCAAGTATTATATAGTGTTTTGAGCATTAATTCAGAAGAGCTACTAACTTAATACTAATGACCTACCACTATAGACAAGATACGCTTTACAAAACTTCTCTCGGTTTCAATTGGATCCTGCCAAGAGTTTAATATACAGTTTAGGCAAAGAAAGTGCATGATGTTTCTTATGAGAAAAAAAAAAAAAAAAAAAAAATGGTACTCTGATACATACCTCGATAGAACATGATATAGATATGCAGCCAACTACAACAGAAGGGGATGATGGATCTAATAAGTCAAATGCCTCAATATCAGAATTAGAGTCCTGCAAGATCAGTTCTTTTAGAGAAAAAATAACAGAACAACATTTTTTTCTTAATTCAGCACATTATTAAGGTCACTTCTGCACAAAGTTCTGCAGGAAATTTGTGCTGTTACAAATCTTACCCGGGAAAGATAGTCAAGTAGATCAATCTCGCAGTACCCAATCAAATTGTTCCTGGACAGTTTATTAGTCTGTATTATGGAGAATAAGAATCAGTACTCAGTAGAGATCTCTCTTCTCCTTTGATTTGTGGTAACAAGTCAAGGGAAATTGAATTTCTCTTCATTTTTA